ACCATATCTGATGCAAAGATATTCGTTGGCGCATCTGCCGCGGCGTGAGCTGCAGCCGAGAAATCACGACCGGTGGTCTTCCGAAAGACCCAAGACTTGGTACGTCGGACGCCTCGAGTGCGGCCACTATTTCCGGAGCTGGAACGTTGGACGCCACGAGTGCGGCCAATACCTGTTGTTGACGATGAGGAGTCTAAGCCAAAGAGAGTCGACGAGTCTACGCCAAATAGGGTCGAAGAGACGTCGTCAAGCATCTTACTGGAGGGAACAGTAACAAGCGACGAAGATGGTAGGTAGTGTGAGTGCATCGCCAGGATGGCCCATCATTTCCTTGCGATCTCAACCCGTCACTTACAAAGAGTTGGCTTGTTGCAGGGATACCATGAACAATCTTCTTGGCCAATATATGATTTGGCTTGTAGGGTGATAGAGAGTCTTTGAACAGGCCTCCCTGGAAGTTCTCCTCTGTTATCACAATGAAGGCTCCTCTCTCCCGTCAATTTGGATGAAAACTGCGGCAGCCAGCCCACGAAGCGAGTACACAACGTTCTACTAGCTAGCTAGCTAGTAATTACTACCACTATCCAGCCAAGGCTCGGATCGGAGAAACTTGACCTTGATCCTCCGGCAAGCGGAAGCCGCTGGCTATTGTGGCTCTTGCTATGGTACCGGGTACCGTACCGAACCGTGACCGCAACCAGTGTACTGCTACTTACGATAAATCTGTGCAATACTTTCCACTTTTATTAAAAGCCGATCCAAACCGAAACACGCGACCGACACACGACATTGATTTCGAGCCTGGTGTCAAGCCAATAAACCGGTACTAGACTATCTACAGTGTCTGGTCACAATGTCATCTGCTTATTACTATACCGCTACCTGGTAGCTACAGTTGCGGCAGCTGCCACCGGATCAGCGTACTGAACAGCGGGGGGATGGAGAAATCCATTGCTTCATCACTGCCCACCTAAGGTTTTGGCGAGGTACTACTAGTATCCATTTGCTTATTACTGCCAACCACCGTCTACCACTATTTACCGCTGTCTGTACCACCATATTTACCGCTGTTTACCGCTCTTTACATACCGCTGTTTACCACTGTCTCTACTAATACTGCTGTTTTCTTGACCACCATTTACCACTGTCTTCCACTGGAGGGGCAGTGCCATTCACATGCCACTGGATTTCTCCACCCCCCGGTGGACTAAAGGAACCAGCAGTCGACGATGGTGGCGTCTCAATAGCTGGCAAGCCACTGAGTACTCCGTTCTTTCTCATCAGAGTAAAGTACGTAGTAGCCAGTGTGAGCTCAGTACATGTACAGTAGTGTGTCAGAGCAGCGAAACAGCTCGAAACAGCCAAAGAGAACCAAATACAATACCTATGCAATCAAAGAATTCACACGCGGAGGACGTTTGAGTCGCACAATTACGGTCTAATAATGTCTTAATTAATTTATAAAAACTGGCCAACCAAGGAAACATTACTTACTTTTTTCTTGCTCTTCCCCCGCTTCTAAAAACTTTATTGCCAATTGCCACATTTCCACTCGAACCAACCTGAAAGCTGCACCACAAAGGGTTGAATAATTTGGAAGCACATGGCGGCATCATCAGATCTTCTCGGCTCGGCTTTGGCTTGTGGGAGGCAAACGGCCATCCGTCTTTTGAACGTTCTCAGCAGTTCTGCCTGCTCTAGCTTGCTAGAGCTCCTCTTGCCGCCTCCTTCAGCGCTGTGGATGCGTGTGCGTCCTGAGCTGCGATGGGACGAGCAACCATCTGCTATTCTCAAGGCTTGATGGAACTCTTCAAAGATTTGGATGTTTTTTAAAAAAAAGGTGAGCACTGGGCACGGTCTGGCTAGTAGCACTACCGGTACCACGCTACGGTACCACGTAGCTAACTAGACACTGAGAATGACACACCGGTACCGGTACCCCTGTGTTGTGAAACTGGGAATCTGAAGCAACGTTCTTTCAAAGGTGTTTCTACGGTAACCAAAAACGCTGCAAAAATAATTATACTAGCTGGGAGAAAAAAAGCAATTCCGCCGACACAGCCAATGTGAGTAAGTGCGCTCCACGTAAGTGACGTGACACATCACGTAGATGGCTTTCGCGAAGCGCGAAGCACAACATTGAGTCGCCAAGGCGACCTCTTTTATGAACAAACCAAGTTAAGTATTTCGGACTTTTTAAAACTTGCCACACCTCATCCCCATATTCGGTCTTGACTTGCCTCTGTACCCCCACCCAGAACCTTTCCGATACGATAGGACTGGAAGTGGTCAGCATCGAAAACCTACAGTCGTCAAGGCATGGCAACAAGTAAAAAATGTTTTGGCAGGCACCAGGCTATCCATCACATCTCGTTCTATCCCAGACTTAGGCAATACCGTTCCTTGCTAACATCGAACGTCCACGACACATTCAAACTCCAAGATTCGAGAAACATTCAATAAAGTTCACTTGCAAACCATCCGGTTCAGCCAAATGCCTTTTCTTGTTGAACAAGACTTGATCATTGAAAAAGTTGCCAATGCCATAGATGTCAATCTTGGCCACTAGCAAACTCTGCTTGGTGGTAAGTCCCTTCACCTTTCGAGGGCACTCCTCCTGTGTCACATCGGAGATCTCAGTGTGAAGATAGATCTCTGCGTCACGGTCTATAAGCCCACACGTTTCGAACTCGTAGGCATATACCTGGTGGAAAGGAACGGACTTGTACTTGACCCTTTTGCTAGACAAACCCTTGGTATCAATCGAGATCATCCTTCTGTCTGTGTAAGCAGTAACATCTCGGCCACGCTGGAACGCACGGAGCACCTTCTCTTCATCCAGCAACAGCAAGGGGTCACTGCGAAGTTTTTTGTCGATCTCAGCGGCATCAATCTCCCAGCAGTTATCAAGAATACCTGGGGTTGCCCCCTTGATTGGTTTTGTTTCACTGCTTGAGGCACTGTGTGCCCCAAAGTCAACCTTGGAATCACTGGGCAAACCAATAATGAGAGCAGCCAAAAACCTGTTGATCCGAGAAATGTCAGCTTTGCCAGTACGGAAGTCCAAGTCAATCTTGGCCAAGTCCCAACCATTGCGAGTGTACAGTGTCAACTCTGTATCTGTGTCCCACACACCAGCTGTTTCACAACACCAGGCACGGATGCTCTGTTTCAAATAGAAGTACAATTGGTGAGACTGGTTGACTTCTTGTTGAGGGAGCCCTTCGAACCAATGACAGCAGCACTCACCGAGAACGGAATACTTCGATACTCAACCTTCTTGCCACTGGGTCCTTGCACATCAATGAGAAGAACGCGATGGCTGGTGCTGTTCCATACACCACATCCAAAATCCAAGTAAAATGCATGGTAAGTTTCATGCAACCCGAGACAAGAGAGTTGGCTATGGCCACTTACAAGCAAGAAATATCCCGCCCAGCTTTGAAAGCCATCAGGACATGCTCACCATCCAACAGAATCTTTGTAGAGGAATGAAACTCTTCATCAATGGCTTTGGGGTCGATCTCCCTTTGGTCCCCTCCCACTTTTTGGAGCAAGGCTTCCAATTCCATTTCGGGTTTCTCCAATTGCAGCTTTGAGGTATCCATAGGAATGGGAACTCCCTGTCTCATAGGTTTCTTTTTGGCTACAAGACGCTGAGATAGATAGTAGTTGAGGGCTGTCATATCAACTCTGTTCTTGTTAAAGTCAATTTCGCTGCAAAGAGAAGTACAAGCTGGAATTTTTAGAGTATGTGACGGCTATTTTGTCATGTAGCCACTCAACTTACAAAAATGACTGTGCAGGGCGTGGTGGCACAGGATTATCATCCTGAACGGGTGCTCTGCCAGCATAGAAGTCCATCTCTGTCCAGAACAGGACTTCACAATCAGTATCGGCACGCTTGCCTGCCGTACGAACACCATGAGCAGTAATCGAATCCCAGCAGAGGGATGTATATTCGGTTTTCTTCCCAGTAAGGCCCTTTGGGTCGATCAAAATGACACGAAGGTTGGTGCTTTCCACGAGAGAGGGTACGAACAATGGCAGCAGTCGCAATGAGGGGAAATAACCCCGATATACCCAACCGCAGAAAGGACCCAAAATTACTTACAACAACGTGATGTCACGATGCCCCTTGAACGCCATTTCAACAGTTTCATTCCCACGCAGAATTGCAGGTGCTGAGTGGTAGACCTTGTTCATTTCCACTGTATCCAGAGGCCTCTGGTTGTCATGGAACCACCAGAAACCCTTCTCATTGACTTCTCCTTCATGGGTGTCAACTTCTTTCACAGGTGCCGCGTCTTCTCCTAGAATGTGATTGCAGAGAATCTTTTGCAAGGCAAAGAGGTCTGCTTTGCCATGATGAAGATCTTGTGCAATGCGTCCAACACCTCGCAAGTTGGTGTAGAGGCACATTTCCATATCACTGTCAAGAAAGGCTCCAGCAGTTTGAACCGAGAATGCTTTGATGATATCCCAGCGGATTGAAAAGAATCCAACCTTTTTATCAGAGACACCCTCAAAGGCACCCTCAACGTCAACTCTCAAGACACGCAGGTCCGTGAAGACAATGTAATCCCTTATAGCAAAGAGATGAATGATGAGCAATATTGGATAAGCCACATCTGTTTTAATTTCGCTGATTTCTCGAAATACTTACTGTCCTGCTTGGAATCCGATCTGCACCGTTTCATTTTTCAACAGAATGGGCATTTGTATCTTGAGGGTGCTTTCTGCTTCCTTGGGATCCGTCTGTTTGGCGTTATCACCAAACCAGCCAATGATGCTACCAGCAGAGGATTCTTGCTTCTTCAGATCAGGAGGTGTAGTATCGACTTGGACATCAATTCCGGTATGCTTGACCGCCAGCAGCTTTTCACTCAAGAATTGCTGGACTTCATAGATATTGACATTGTCTGCTGCCAAGTCAATTTCAACATAGTCAATACCCCTGCTGTAGATGCGAACGGAGACATCACCATCAAATTTTCCAGCCGTGTCTGTGGAGAACGCCTCCATCGACCACCAGGGAATACTCTGGTATTGCTTGCGCTTGCCGCTAACACCTTTGCCGTCCTTGATGATGATACGGTCAGTGGTAAAGTAGGACTTGTCTCTGCCAACACCACCCCGACCTTTGAATGCTAAGACGATTTTCTCATCTTTGCCAAGAAGAAGAGGATATTTTTCCCGGACTGCCTTTTCAGCCTCGGCAGAATCCTGCTGATGGGCATTGTTGAAGACGAAGTCATGTATCTTCGAGGGCATGTTGAGTAAGTTGGCTCGCAAGGGTCTCTTGCTTGTGCTGTCGAACGAGGCAAAAGGTCAACTATGTGAAAGTTATGGGTGGTGTGGGGTTATCGCGTCATTCAGTTCCAGACTTGTTTTCGTGCCAGTTCATTTTTTATGGGGTTGAGAATTGCCTGAGCGTTCCTTGATTTTATTGCCTGAGCGTTGTTGATGCTTTGTTGACACAGAGCGAAGAAGAAGGGAGATCTTTGATATCTCTCTTTGATGACGTCCCACTCGTGGCCCGGAGTCCTTTAGTATCCTCTTCATCATATTTTCACCTTCGAGACGATAGCTAAGCCATACTAGCTCTAGCCCGGTTTGGGAAGCTCGATACATGTCCTCAGATGTATGGACTAGCTAGCTAGCCACTAGTAGTAGCATTGCACCAAGTGGCTCGTGGCTAGCAGCATATTTGACGTTTGTCAGCCAACCTGAACGACGAGAAACTCTAAATGATTGATTGCTAGCTAGCTAGAGTGCTACAGAACTGTCTGCCTACGTACGCATCGGAGCCGCCGAAGGCACTTTCTTCGAAAGAAAACTGCCAAATACTTGGGTTGGAGGCAAGTGAGAGGTCAGCAAGACGTCCTTCGAGTTGGGCACCCGCGAGGGAACATCGGTCGGGAAGAATTGAATGCCCACACCGTGTGTGTGTTGCAGGTCCCCACTGTATCGTTTCCGTTGCCAATGCAGCCAGGCCAAGGAATGCATTTGCTGTACTGGTACCGCCAGACTGTTTGCCGCCAACCGGGGGCAATACGCGTTGCGAATTGTGGTTGATGCATTTTCATATATTTTCACCCAATCATGGTTCCCCGACTACTGGTAGAATCTCGCAATTGTTGATGATGATGCATGTGCCGCTTGGAGTATGTTTTAATGTCTCGAATGCGTTGTTTCTTTTGACACGCCCGCGCCACGGCGAACCATTCCTCCCGTGACAAGGACCCATTGCCATCAATGTCGGCATGGGACAGCATCATGTCGCATTTGGCTTGTGTCATGTGAATTCCAACCTGTTTGAGTCCCTGGAGTAGTTCGTAACTATCGATATCTCCACTTTGATCCAAATCGAGTCGGTCAAATATTTGATTCAGTCGTTCTTCTTCTGTCATTTGTCTGTCGCTGTGGTTGTTATTGTTTCCCAAGTTATCAAAGCAGCTTTGCTGCAGCAAATCAATAGCTTTCTTCCACCGCCACGACCCTAGAAAAGCCTCCTTGACGGAGATTCCCAATTCGTAAACCAAATAGGCAATAATGGCACCTCCCACCAACACAAAGAGCCCAGCATTGATGAGGAGTGCGTAGACTCGATATCGTTTGGCCCACCAGTAGGCAATGACTCCTCCCGACCAGAACGCCACAAGCAACGAGCACAATACCAGCAATCGACCGGTATTTTCCATATTCCCCCGACAGAGTTGGGCAATAAAGAGACTGATATCGGTCGTGGCGCCGGAGTGGCCGGTGGATCGAATGAGATTCTCCGAATAAATCGAACTGACGCCATTTTGAATGCCATTGGCGGCGGCGGCAAAATAAAAGACAAAATCTTCATTGTTGGATTCGACGGCCGCCATGATACTGGAAATGACCAAAAAGGCCGCGCCAATGAGAAAACTGGGTCCGTACATGGGTTCAATGCGAAAGGGTGTCGGATCGGGTGACAGGACGCCCGATATAAAACTGCCAAACATGAAACTCAAAAACATACACAACAGAAATCGAAATTGCTCGTAATTTCCATCGGCCAATTCGAGACACGACAGTGTAATGGTTTGGGTAAAACTGGACACGGCAAAACTTCGTTCGGGGACGACAAATCCCGAGAGACAACTGCCATTGACAAAACCACTGTTGAATGCCATGAATACTCCAGCACAGAGCACGAAAATGTACTCGCGTCGTGGCGCACGATCTTCTTCTTCCTTTGGCTCTTGTCGCATACTGCTGGCTTGATACAGGTTTCGTGGTGGTGATTGTGATGGTTTGGATGTTGACGTCTTTTGGTCGTCATCGTCATCATCAAATCCCTTGTCATCCAGATCGTTGCTCCAAGACACTCCCTTTTGAGGTTTGGGACGTGCCGATTCCGATATCGGTGGATCGCCATTGGTAGCAATCGTAGTGGCCGTGTAGGAGCTGTTCTGCACGGTTTCTCCCGCGGACTGTTGTTGCGGTTGTGGGTTGTCGTTGTCGTTTTCTTTGATGTTTCCACTACAGATAGTGGTGTTGCTCTCCACTGGCTGCTGCATGCTCACTACTTGATCACATTGTTGAGGCGTTTCCCCGGCGGCCTGTTGACTGGCTGTTGTTGTTGTTGTGGATGACATGTCCTACTACTGTCCTCTCGCAACCACCACACTATGATGTTGTGGCGTTGCATTTCAAGGTCCCCATCCAAGTGCTGTCTGTTTGTTGGGAACACCTTTCATCACCAACAGTGACTGCGGTATTGGAGCTGTACCGGTACTGAGATCGAAGAAGATCTTGTGGGAGTTGAAAATTTGAACTCTAACGCTTCCTTCACTTTCTGACGTCATTCAAAGATCATTTGACCACCTCCGACCTTTCCGACAAGAAGAACAGTCATCGCGCTTGTTTCCTTGGCACTTCCCAGAACAAGAAGATGAAGATGGATGGATGCTTGATCCCTTCCTTGGCCCTGTAGTACCATATATATACCGTACTGTAGCTTCCCTTCGATCGATAATGCCTCCCAAGTCCCCTTCTACTGAAGGATAGAGAAGTGGGCTAGCGACTAGCTAGCAGTATATCAAAGCTGGCAGTGGGTCAAGCTTGAGTGAAGAAAAGGCGAAGTCCTGCTTCCCGGATCGAGCTAGCTATCAGGCAGTTGGGTACAGCACAGTACAGCGCATACATACATGTAATGTCATGTCGTCGCATCATCCGGAGCGAGTGGCCATTGATTCGGATGATGAAGAATCGCTGTCTTCTCCTCCTCCTACCGAAGAAGAAGAAGAGCATTCCCGAAAGCAAAATAATGGCAATAATCGAAAGAAGAAAAAAGCCGATGATGGATATGACGACGTGTCCAAGATGATATACAGTCATTCCATGTCCGAGACACTCATATTATGGCTCCTCACCAATGGCAAGGATGCTCCCAACATGTCCGTATTGATTGATCGATACCTACGATTGCTGGTACAGAAAATGAACATTCCCGTGCATCGATCCCACATTTCCTACTTGCTCAATCATCCGCAAGCGGGTGCTAGATTTTGGAAATGGTTTGGACCGGGACGCATGACCAGTTTCTATCATCCACGATCTTTCATTGATCGACGCTTTGAATTTGCGGCACATGATTCGCCCTTTATCTTACTCGAACTGGGAGCTCCTTACGTTCGCGTACGAGCATCCGATGCCACTGTTTCAGATGATATTGCTTGGTTTCGGAAGGAAGGATACACCGACTATCTCGCATTGGTCGACCTCAATCGCGACGGGGAATACCAGGGAGCCTTTAGTTGGGCCACCCAGCATCCGCAAGGCTTTTGTGACGAACACATTCACTTTTTTCACAAAACACTGCCCGCACTCACAGTCATTGCCCGCATTCACATTTCCAACATTGTCACCAAACGGTTGTTGCAAACATATCTGGGCCATGATCCCGGGCGACGTGTCGCGGCTGGGATGATTCAACGCGGCCAGGGTATTTCCATGCGATCCGTCATTTGGTTTTCCGATGTCCGAGACTTTACCAAACTATCGGACAAGTACGGACGCATCATTGCCCTTAATGTCATTAATACCGTCTTTGAACTTACCGAACAAGTCATGACCAAACACAAGGGAGAGATACTCAAGTTTATGGGTGATGGATGCATGTCCATATTTCCAGAACAGCAGAACCAATCATTGGATAGTACGAGCAAACAGGAGCATCATCTATTGAGCAGCAATGACAGTGACAACTTGGATGACAATGACAATGACAGCTCCAACAATAGCTCTGTGAATACATTGAGTGGGTCCAACCCGAGTTTGGGATCCTCATCCTCGTCCGAACACGCACAACAACACGGCAGCACCACCCAAAGTGTCAAGAGACGAAATTCCACCACCTTTTTTGACTTTACCAACTTGGAAATGCTCCAACAAGAACTGGCCGCAGCGGCGGATCATACCGACAAGAATGAGCGCGACGATTCGGCGGGATTCACCAGTCTCGAGACCATGGTCGGGATGGATCCTACCCGACGAGCCAGAGCGGCCGCGGTCGAATTGCAACAATTGATTCAAGCGGCGTGTCGGGATCGCAAAGCGCAGGGATTGCCGCATATTAGTGTGGGGATTGGATTGCATTATGGGACTTGTTCCTATGGCAATGTGGGGGGAGAATCACGACTGGACTTTACCGTCATTGGACCCGCCGTCAATTTGGCCAGCCGGGTGGAAAGTTTGTGTGGAAAACTGGATGCCTCCATTTTGGCCACGGCGGAGTTTGTCCATTTGGATGTCGAGGCAGAAGAGGGGGGTTGGCAATCCTGTGGTCAGCATGCTGTCAAGGGAGTTGCACAGCCAGTGGATGTCTATCAGCTCAAACAACAGCAACAACAAACCGAAACAGAGGTGGAGGAACCCACGTGACAATGACGAGAAACCATTACAAGGGTTCGTTTTGCTCTCTCCATCTTATTGGGAAAAAATCTACGTGTGGTTATCGTCTTTGTCCTGACGATGCTTCAGACACTGACGAAAAGGAAGTGCTCCTCCGTCAGTCTGACTGGAACACCAGAACTCACTTTGTCACGGCCAAAGAAGTTTTGATTGCCCCTTGGGCCGTTTGAAGCGCCAAGGTGGATGACACAACTGCGCAATCACGTGGGATTTACGGGATACAACTGATCGTGTGGGTATAGAGCAGAATTTCTTACCCGTCAGTACATCGAACCAATGAGAAGGAATGGCGACAATTCAAAAGAGTGATGATGGATGCTTTCCAACGCACTAGTCCCGCCGTTGTGGACTTCAACGCGGCACTGATCCTTGTCGATTGACCTTCTAGTTTCCATATCTCATTGGATAAATATTCGTCGGCGCCTTCTTTGGCTGATGTTCATGGATGATGGCGCAGCCGGATAGTCGTCATCATAACAGCAACAATCAACACAACGAACGTCAACAACGGACGAACAATACATGTGCTCATTGCGATTGGTCTCCACGCGGTGGTTTGCGCAACGAACTCCTCAGTTTGACTGCCTGTGGAATGTGTCTAAAGGTCGTTTACTGTTCGGATGACTGCCAAACTGCAGGCCGAAAGACACACATGATCCAGTGCAAACGGTGGGAGATGACACGAACCCACCTCACCGACGAATCTGCTTGGAATTCCACATCATCGCAGCTGTTTAACGAAACTTCTACAAAGCGGACAATGGACTCATACTTGACAGGCACCATGCCAGAGAAACAGTTGGATACACGACATCATTGCAAACCAGCAGTCGAGGCCGAAGAGAAATGCCAAGTAAACACCACTTCGTTCGTGCCGGGCGTTTCATTTACATGGCCCTTTCTGCGTTGGACATCTGCCTTGGAAATGTTGCAGCAGACTGAATCGTCTCCAAAGACAACAACCAGTACTGATTGGGATCGGTGCCGTTCATCAATATTGCAGTGCTGGGATTGTCATTTGCAGCAGGCAGCGGAAAGCTTGAAAGCCGGAGATCCCGTGGACACATCCCAGTATGCGTTCACAGGCGAGAACCTGTGGAACCAGTTATCATTGGTACTCTGTCACGAATCTGTTGCCAGGGTTATTTTAGAGAAAGCATTGGACTCAAACAAGGAAGATGGTACTCCCTTGCGAGAATTCTTTGCTCCGTTGATTGGAATGTTGGATCTGAAGAATTACAAAGGAAAGGACAGTCTGGAAATTATCACAAACAAATGCGCGGCAACTCTTGTGATGCAAGCTCGGAGGCAGTGTGGTCCATCCATTGTAAGCCCGTTCCATTTGGAGGCTGCCTTTACTAGGGGCATGGACGATGTTCAACTCGCGTTTTGGAAGGGTGTTGCTCTCCCGACTGCTAAAGGTATGATAGAAACGACTCCAGCAACACGCTGAAAAGAGCGGGATGAAACCTGATACAACAGCGATTGACACCTCCTAGCTAGTACGGTAGGGATTATTGGATAGTATAATATTGTATATGGAATAGTACGAAGTATTACTTTCCACAGGCAGCTCGTTTGTCCTGCTTCTTGCCTGAGATGGATTGTCCATGGATTGTCCGGTTCAAAGAGCCTTCAGATGTTGTTGCGGACTCGCTGGCCCTGTTTGGTCATGTGATAAAAGCGAGCCCGCGGGAAAGCCACCCGATAAGTTGCTTCATCACAATCACAATCATGTTGTATGGCCCAAATCAGAACCTCAATATGTCCACCATTGGCAGCCGCAGAGCAAGTGGTTTCATCCCAAGGGCAGCCATTCTTTCGAGCCCATTCCAACAATTTCAGGTGACCAGCCTTGGCAGCAGCCGCGCAAGTACTTTCCCCCCATTGGCATCCTTGTCCACGAGCCCATTTGAGCACCTCAAGGTGCCCACATTTAGCAGCATGATGACAAATGTTGGCATCCAACCGGCATCCATTCTCATGAGCCCAGGTGAGCACATCAAGATGCCCGTCTTGAGCAGCATAATAGCACAAGTCAATATCCAATGGGTATCCTTCTTACTTTTTCAAGGGAAGCCGAACACCGAAGCGCTTCCCCTCTGGATCTGTCAATACAAGCACCACAACAACACTAATAGCAACAAACACAACCAATCGGTCATACCTATACCATTACACTACCTATTAGCACCATTAGAAGCATTGAAACGAAGTGAAAGGACCTCAGGAAGCTTGTTATCTGTTATTTTCGTTGAAGAGTACTTGTTTTACTATAGGAATCAACTAACGTCATCACGGAAAACATACACCCTTTTTTCCTCTCTTTACACCCTATTCAAGCCCAAAAGGATCGATACCTCCTATCTCCATCAAGCGCACCTCCTTATCAAGCAACTATCAACGCGGCTCTCCGGTCCAGATTAGAAAGCCATCCAATTGAAATCCTACGAGATCGGGCGGTCTTCTATTCTCGGACCGCGAGGACGCCAGTTGATACGAAATTGCCACACAGAAAGTCTTTCCGGCTTCTGCAGTAACCAGACGAGCAGAGAACACATACCATTTGTTTACTTGCGTGTTCTCACTGCCGACGTGCCCAAGAATAATCCCATTGTCGGCCGTCCTCTTTCCGTAACGATCGACCTCCGCAACAACAAAGGCTCGGTTAACCTTCCCCTAAGGCAACCGACTCATTCGAATCTAATCGCGAATCGAATCGATCTTATCAATCGATCCTCGAATCAGATCACCTCCTGAACGATCATCTTCCCCGATCGTACATCTTCCTCCGATACGTACTTCTTCCTCCGTACGGATCAAAGACAGCCTCTATCATAAAGAAGGACTTCACGAGATACCTGCAGTGACCGTCGAGAACAGAAACACAGCTGTATTTTTACTTTCTCACCGGCCACTCTTGGTTTCCCCCGACGTCCTTGTTGGAACCGATCCTAAGAATTGACCACAAAAAGAAGTCTCCGGCTTCCACAGCAATTACAGAAAACAATTCCCATAACGTGTCATTGTTGCTTTCTGAAACTAAGCTCCTGACGGCGAAGAAATCCCATTGTCGCCCCTCCTTTTTTCGAACGATTCAACGAATCGAATCGCGCATCGAATCCAAGACTCGGCTACTTCCGTGCAAGTCTGATCAATTCTTCCCGCGACCGTCCTCTTCCTCCGTACGAACCTACTGTCATCAAGAAGACTTCACGAATACCTGCAGTACCACCAAGAAGAGAATTACACCTGTATTTTACTTTCAACCGGCACTAAGTGGTTTCTCCCGACGTCCTGTTGGAACGATCCTACTTGATTCCAACCAGTTCCTTCTCTCCTATACAGACTGAGTGACTGATCGACACTGCTACTGTTACCACCCTCCATTGATATCTACTCCTCTCCAAGAGGAACAACAAACACCAACAGATTCCGTTTAAGGACTTGAGGTTCTTGTATCTCCAGGCTTGGCTGAATTGCTAGTTTCACAGCCCCTCCCTGGAATACCCAGCTCCTCTCCAAAGGATCCTCCCCCACAAGAACCAACTAAAAAGTTCCCCTCTAGCGTGGCTAGATTGTGCAACACCCCATTGAACACCCACCTCTCTGCTACTGCACCTGACTCTCCTACTGAGTGGAACTCCAAGGATTGAGCCCCAGACAGACTGCAGCGTGGTGTGGCATAGATTTTAATACATAACTGACTCTACTCTCTCTCATTGATTGTTGAGTGACTCTCCAGGTACTTTCCACAGTTCCACCTGAATCGAGTACCCTTTCCACATCTTGGCTTGACTCTCTGTTGCATTTTCATCCCTACAACAGATTAGTACCAGCCTTGAGACAACACAGTGTCACCCAGTAACACAGCCCCATCAACCAACAACACCCCTTGATCCCCCACCGTCTCTACTGGCTATAGCTTGACTTCTCCAGTTTCCCTGAAAGAATCCCTAACAGCCTTTGGCTCTGATACAATCTCTCCTGCAGTAGTGGTATACCTGCACAGACTTGGCCACAGCTTTTGATCCAGTGGCAACAACAACCCAACACTTTGATATAAACCTTGATACCAGTGCCCAGTGCATTGCCCTTGAATACACCCTTCTACATCAATAATCTCGCCACTCACAAGCAACCCCATTCTTGGTTGAACAACGACACACAGTCAACTCCAGGATACACACCTCTCCCACAACCACACCACACCCACCATGACTTCCCATGTCTACCCACTACTTACTCAAACCAAGGTCCCCCAGACATTCCCCCACTCCCACATTCACCCAACCAACCACATCACCATCCTCCGCAACTTCACAACACCACTCCCAGATGATCAGCCAACACTCCTAGAGATCAGCCATCTTGAGGATCAACCCTTCCGAATCACACCCTACCCTACAGGGAGGATGCTTTTGTTCTCACCCTTGAACACAGGCCGCCTCTATCCTACAACACACATCAACCATGCTACATCCCAACTCCTACAACAAACTCCAACACCAACAGAACTCCCCTCCTGCCCCTGGCACCAGCCCATTTCCAGTGCCCCCTTATCCTCTTCTATTGACTCAACAACCCTCGAACAGCCACAACACTCCAGCAGCCACTGTGCCTCCCTCTTGGGAACACACACTGCCAGTGTGTCATTTGACCCCATCTCGCCTGCTTGTTGCCTCTATCTAACAATTTTGTGCATTGGATGGGTTACACCCTGCTCTGGTCCAGCCTGAGGAGTACCACCTCCTACGGGCTCTGCTGGCATCTTGCCTTGCATGCCAAGGCCCTTGCCACGCTTGGGACCTGATCACCCAGACACACTTACTGGCGAGCACTCTTTGGTCTGGCAATCTAACTGGTCCTCACGGTCCCTATGGTGATAATGGTTTCAATACCGACAAAAATCCTGTGTAAGCCCCTGTAACCCAGGTTTTGCGCTGCAGGTTCCCTATCAATGTGATCACCCCCCTACCCAGGGCATCTGTCTACTTGGTGCTGGCTCCACGTTGGGCCAGTGGATGAGGTCATGTTGATTGGGCAAATAAGTAGATGACGACTCAGCTAGGTGGGGGCTTCCCCACCCATTGCCCGCGTCACAAAAGCCACTCCGTGGCCATAGTTTGTTAAACTAACGAGTAATTTACACCCCTCCAATGGGTATCCTTCTTGATGAAGCCATTTGAGCACATCAAGATTCCCACATCGAGCAGCACAGTGAGAAATTCTGGCATCCAATGGGCATCCATTCTCACGAGCCCATTTCAAAACATGCAGGTGACCCCCTACTGCTGCTGCTGAGCATGTCGAACCATCCCAAGGACACCCATGGGCTCTTGCCCATTTCAAAATGTGTAGGTGACCCCTTCCTGCTGCTGCCGAGCATGTGGCACCATCCCAAGGACACCCATTCTCACGAGCCCATTTCAAAATGTGAAGGTGACCACTTTCTGCCACTGCCGAGCATGTGGAACTATTCCAAGCACATCCATTCGTTTGTGCCCATTTCAGAATTTCCCAATGCCCACCTCTGGCAGCAGCCTCGCACGTGTTGGCACCCCAAGTACAGCCTTGTTTTCGAAGCCATTCCAAAACATGAAGATGGCCAGCCCCAGCAGCAACCTCACACATCCATCGATCCATCCCAAATCCTTGTTGGAGGGCCCAGTTTAGAACTGCAAGATTCCCCAACTTGACCATGCGTCGACGATAGCCAGAGCCCCATAACCGGATTCTCTCACCAGGGTCACAACGGAGCCAGTATTTGGCACATGCCACGGAGGAGAATGTGGCGTGTCAAATGTGTCCGTGTCGGTGGCTTTGCGCCAGGGTTTGTGCTGGCAATGATCATCATCACCGCGTCTCTCCACGGAGGGGTGAACTGTACCACGCCACAATTCCATACGAAGGGCTTCTCTATCCTCGTCATGCTTGACAAAAGGAGGATTCTGTACCGTCTTGCAATATGCCTTGTAGAGACGATTCAGTTGCTTGTTGCTGGCTCCAATGAATGCGTATTGTCCCATGCCCACAAAGGGAAGAACGTTGTCTACCCAAAGATCCTCCTGATCCATGAGAGCCACGATATTGATGGAAGAGGCCACGGTGACGGTCGCTGCTGTTTGGTTTTGAGACGTCATGGTTGAAATTGGTTCGTGTACAGTACAACAGAGATTGTGGTTTGTTGTCCGCTGCCTTTGTTGAGGGTTCGAATGAACGTTCGAATAAGAACAGACAGCCGTGGGCTAGTAGTGCCCTCAACTAGAATTTATCTAAAGGCAAAGGTTTCATTTTTTATTGTATGTCTTAAAGCCAAGGCTAATCAATGGCTGTGATAGCTTTAATCTTACTAGGGAAACCGCACCATATGTACGTGTTTGCTTTGATAGCCTTAATCTTACTAGGGAACCGCACCATATGTACGCGACACACACACACACACCCACACACCTACACACACACACACACACACACACACACACACATCCAGCCCATCGAGGTATTGGATTTACGGTTTAGTTTAGCTTGGTTTCGGTCTATACCGCACCAGCTCCTATGTGTCTATTTTCGAAATCACCACTAACAGGGTACCCTTGCTTTCTCACAGCCTACCCGGCTTGTATCTTTTGCCATCCCCAGCTTGCTCCACTGATGAAGCAAACAGCGAAATTCTTAAGCTCAGAATTTGGAAATCAGCAAGCAACGGTATACCCCATGGATAAACATCCAATGGTAGATTCGTCGTAGATTAACTCTTAGTAGTATCTACACACATCTCACACAACATCACACATCTCACACAACACTCAACGTACACACACGTACACACACATTCTCGTGTCGAGAAAAGGATCTGTCGTCCCAGAACCACCACCAAAAATCGCCATTTCAGCCCCTTCGAAACACCAACGAAGGCGCAACTACAATTTGAAGGTCTGAACCTGACTCAAGAGTACTCAGTATATCAAGGGTATCTCCAGTTGGTTCCCCTTCGAACCCCCAAAGCATCATTGTCGCCCCGATCGATAGACTTCGTACGGAGCGCAAAAGAGGTACGGAAAAGAGGTACGAAAAAGATACGCCAAGGTAGCACACCTGCTCTGGATACTCTTCCCTTTCGAATCAATCGAGTCGAATCGAATCAACCGAATCGAATCGAACGCACCTCTACGTACGTCACTCGGAACACGTACGTCACTCGGAACACGAAAGGAACGCAACTCCACGTACGTCACTCGGAACACGAATTCTGCTCGGAACACGAAAGACGTTCCGAAGCACGACTGAACACCTTGGTTTTAAGATAATACGTATCTTTGATCCGAGCCCTCGGTTGGCGAGTTTTCGAATACCAACCAACCAACCAACCAACCAAGCACCATACTATTACATACAACAACAATAGTAAACATGCCTGAGGCAATGATTGAGACAACTCCCATTCTCCGCAATGGTGGCCGCGGCAGAGGCCGTGGCCGCGGCAACTCCAATGGCCGCAACACCAGCGCCAACAGGAACAACAACCAGCGCGAAGATGATGGCTCCCCCAGCAGGAAACGAACTGCCTTTGATCCATCCGCAATCAACCCTCAGACATACCGACCCGATGCAACACAAAAGGATTCACGCGTGGCCCCACTACAAGCCGCCCTGAATTTCCTACATGGCACCACTGCGACGCTCCATGAGGCATACCACCGTACCGTCAACAAAGTAGGAGAGGAATTTATCAAAGCCTTTGCGGCACACCAGCGCAACAAGGACACTCTCGACGGTATGATTGATGGCAACAACCAAACCGGGGAATTGACCCCGTCCAGGATTCCGAAATCAGTCGATATCAAATTCGAACTGAAGGCTGGCAACCCAGCAATGGAGAGCGATGCGAGCTTCAAGCTCTCCAACAAGAATCCACACAAGCTGTTGAACTCTACAAAAAAACCCAAGCAAAAATTCTATTCGAAAGAAACAACTGTACGTCCAATATGCTCAAAAGGGCCGTAGCGAGTCCCTGGCTAGAGGCCTTCTGCCCATTGCCAATGGCCCAAAGTCATCTGCGGCAGAGAGAATCATCAATGGCCATGCAATCGTCAACACCATCCTGGAGGCACACAACGAGGTGTTGCTCAAAAACACTGGCATTGACCTAGCACATTTAGAACAAATACATTAACGTACCAAGGTCTTGCAACCATGCCTGATCCATTACCATTAGTTGACACTCAGCAACAGCCTCAGCCACCTGTGGAACCTGCTCAGCCAACAACACATGCGCCTGTCCACCCAGCAGAACCCCCGGCTCCCCACCTGCAGGGGCCCTAGTCCATCGACCAACTGACTGCTGTCTCCAGCCACAGCGACCTCGAGGCCACCCAGGAGCACATCCAGCGATGCCTAGCACGAGGCGCTAGTGCCGAGTCCTTCGAGGACTACAACGAAGCCAAAGAGAGAGCAAAGTCTCAGCTGGAACAAGAACATGACGCAGCAACTACCAACAAACTAGCAATGGAAAAATATCAACAGGCACTGGAACAGTACCAAACCCACCAATGGAAATCAACAATCAGGCAGGAGCCCACAATACACTAGGCCCGCCAGCAAACACACAGGGCACTGCACAGTTGCCAGCAGCAGTTACAACAATATCAGCAACGAGCCCAGCAGCCCTCCATACCAGAGTTGGCCAAGCTGTAGAGACTCATCACCAGTGTATTCTGCACACCCATTGACAAGTACCAGCACCAATCATCAAACAATGTCAAGTCCCCTGCTCTCAAGAAGCTACACAAAGAGGCATTCACAACCAAGGACACAGAGGACACTGCAATGGAGATTGACAGTTAACCTGCCTCTGACTCCCAAAAGATCAAGGATCTGGTCAAGAAAATGGTAAAGGAGGAACTGAAACAGACCCAAAAGCAAATGGCCAGAGCCACTGGCAAAAATGTCACCCAAGCGCTCAATCAACAGCGCACAATAATCAACAAAGACAACAACAGCTCAAAAACCAACAGGAGGGGCCCAGCACAGGGAGGCGCCTCCAGCAAAAAAAAGAAATCTCCCCACCAACAACCATCCGCCAGAGGTGGCAGAACCCAACGAGGACGGTCCCAGTCCGCCCCAAAGAGGCAACCGCCAAGGAAGCCAAAGCAGAGCCCGCCAAGGCGGCCGCGGCGGCAGTGCAGGACGAGGAAGGGGAAGGAAAGCCGGAGAAGAGGCAACGCTACCTTCAGAGGCTCCACAAGATCGAAAAGAGGCCGCTCCAGAAGCTCCTCTCCCAGCAGGATGCAGAACTCCAACACCAGGAAAAGCAGGTCCTCCAGGCGAACGACAAGGAGATAGAGCTCACATATGGTTTCGTCTCAGACCCCGACCTACATCTACACGACAATGTAAAAACTAGACTCCTTCATATGCCGGCCTGGTACGACTTTGCCAGGCCAACCAACCTTGCATACCACGACCTTCCCACGACAATTAAGCCCCCACCAGGCCTCTACTAACTGTTGGGCCTGGGCCAAAAGTTCATTCCTACACCTGGATACTCCCACACTTGGAGTGACATCGAATCAAACACCCTCAACAGGTTCTCCAGGGACCTGAGGGGGAAAGCCTTCTGTATTGGCCCATGCAGAAGAACAACAACGACAATCACAATGGCATGGTGATATACATCACGAAATGCTGCTCAGCTGAACTGGCCTCCACCAGCCCTAATATGTCCCTTGGTTAATCTTTTTGGTTTGCTGCGTTCGAGTTGCTTCCGGGCGGCGCGGGGGGAACTTCCGGAGCTACAATGATCGAAACAATGGTTGAAACAATGATTGAAACAGCCGAACCCACATATCCCGATGAGATGTAAACGGAGCTTTATGCTGTCTTTCGAGGGACCGGGAGACGATGCTAACAATATACAATCTACGACATCATTGAGTGATTGACCAGGATCACATGTTACTTGTCTTTGTAACAGTATATTATGCTTGAAAACTCTTGTACAGAGCTACAGTACGACTTGAAGCCTCTATCGGTACCATGGCTGTTTACGGAGCTAGCTAGGCTTGATCTCTAGCAGCTAGCTTGATGAGGTTGGTTCTAGCTAGCTATGCATAGTGGTGGCGTTGCGGGGAATATTCGATTGAATGAAATCATTCACAGATTGAGCATTCGATTGCATTCGGTTCGAATTGGTCATTCGTTCATTCAACGACGAGTGGGAGTGTTATTGTTTCCACGCTCCGCGCTTTTCGACCACAAACCTGGGCGTCACGCAAGCTCAACAAAATCAGTCCGCAGCAGCAACAAGTTAAAACACAAGGCACAAGCAACAATAGACAACCAACCAACAAGGAAGCTATAACTGGTCGCTTGGTTTCATTAATTGCCACCCAGGATTACTGGGAGCTCAAAGACTACGGCACCTCCCACATTTTGGTAAGCTCTCCCACGCATCTACTGCGATGGAGCTGAAATTGAAAAGACAGAAAGTCTCCACCCCTCTTGACTTTCAAGTGTTCTCGGGACATGAGGAGATTTGGATGGAACAAATCCTCCCCTGTCTTGGCATAGGACAGTATGCCTTTGTTGGGGCTGTAACAAAAACTAAACAAATTGTACAAGGAATATTGTTCCAGAGTAGACAACCCTGCGTGGCGAAGGAGCCTCGAGTACACAATGAGAGAAAAATACCTCTAACCAGCACCGATACGTACTACGGTGCAGCTTCTGAATGTGCATGTGCTGAATACTGGCTCAGCGATGATTCCACCGGTAAGCTTCCCACTAGCGATGATGTCTTGATGGCCGCTGCAAGAGTTGGGAACATTTCAGTTATTCAGTGGGCAAGAAAATAGGATATTATTCGTGGGGAGCAGGGACATGCGCAGCTGCTGCTGAAGGAGGTCACCTGGAGATGCTGAAATGGTTGCGCGAAAAGAGATGCCAATGGGATCTTCAACATGCTCTGCAGCTTCTCAAAATGGTCATTTTGAAATGCTAAAGTGGGCCCACGAGAATGGTTGTCCATGGGATGCCGATACAATGGTGGGTGCTGTGAAGGGTGGGCATCTCAACATTCTGAAATGGTTGCAATTGAATGGCTGTCCAAAGCACGATTGGCTCCTCGTCCATGCTGCTTATGGTGGTCACTTGGAAATCGTGAAATACGCTCTTGACAATGAGTTAGGTACGAGCTTGACACATCTGATATGTTCGATTGCTGCCGGTGCTGGTCACTTGGAAATACTCCAGTGGGCTCATGCCCATGGATATTCTTGGAATTCCACACCTGCTCTGGGCTGCTGAGAGGGTCACTTTGAAATTCTAAAATGGCTGCATGACAATGGATGCCCATGGGATGCGTGGACATGCACAGTGGCAGCAAAGAATGGTACTTTGATATTTTGAAATGGTTGCATGAAAACAAATGTCCTGGGATGAGAGAACATGTGAGGCTGCTGCCAAAGGTGGGCATCTTGATATCCTCAAGTATGCAACATAAATGGTTGTCCTTGGAATGCACTCACTGCTTTCAAGCAGCCAGAAAGAATCAGTTTGAAATTATGCGATGGGCTCGCGAGCATGGTTGCCCATGGGATTAAGGACGTGTGCGGCTGCTTCTTTTTTTGGTCGCCTTGACATGCTGAAATGGGCACGGGCCAATGGATGCCCTTGGGATTCATTGACAATTCGTGCCGCTACAAAAAAGAATCATGTAGAAATCGTTGATTGGGCACGTGCAAATGGTTGCCCCGAAGAGGGAGCGGAAGACGATGAGAGCGAAGACGAATGGGACTCTTACGAAGAGGAATATGATTAGAAGGAGAGGAAGCGGAGGAACCCCCACAAAATGAGTGCAGGTAACCAACATATAGCCATAAAATTCTTGTAGGTTGATCTTTTGAATTGGAAAGATCTCCATTGGACATTTGAGATTACACCGGTGTTGATTGCGGGGCCATCAACAATGGAGGTTCTAGCCATGCAGAGGCATCAAATACTCAATGGAAGTAGTAGACCCACAATCTTTACTGTAGATCGAGTCTGCACTTGAAACAGGATGTCCCTGGGACGATCAGGATGAACGGAGACAATTCAACCTGCTCCAAACCCCGTTATATAATCAAGATGCACGGTGAGAAGGGGGAGCCTACTTTGTGAAATACCGATTAGAAAGAGGCGCAAGGACCCAATGTAGTAGATCAGTTGTTTATTCAAGAATACAACTATCTTCTCTTTGCTGTAGCTATTGGCAACACTATTGTGTCATGATACCCTGGAAGCCACCCAGACCACAAATCCAATACTGGCAGCGTTTGGTTTCTTGATGGCATTTTGATTGCTGTTTCTTTTTGTTCCACAGTTCGGTCGTCACGAATACGAATATTATTTCAAATAGCTTATTACTCAGTTGCTTGTGGATGATTGTTGTCGTTGCGAGTTGCGAGGTGGATGATGTTGATGCTCCAAAGAAAACAGCATGGCGAGTTCTTCTGGTTCTCCTGCAATACGTTCGTCGTGACCGAGTTCGGCATCGTTCAATTTGAGGATTCCGACAATCAGCATGAATCCAATAATGAGTAGCGTTCCAAGAAAGCTCCAGAGACTCATGGGTTCGTGCAAAAAGAGTATTTCAAAAACATATGTAAATACAATTTGGGAACAGGTGGCGAGCGTCCCGGTGGCGGCGGTTTCATATTGCAGTCCCAAATTGACCAAGTACTGTCCAGCATATGCCGTCAATCCGGTACAGAGCATCCAACACCAATCCCATGCACGCAAATTGGTGGCACCCGCCCACACGTTCCAGGATTGTGTGGTCAAATATTTGGATCCCAGCAGTGTCATTGGGAGACTCAAACAACTGTAGTAGAGTACCATGACATTGGCATCGGCGTCCCGCCCAATCATGCGGACCGACATGTACGCCAATCCAGCAAAGGCAGCACCGAGTAGTGCCACAGCAATGGCTGCCAGCGAATCTTGTTCGTGTGTTGCCTCGTCATTATTGTTGTCGTCTCCAAACAACCATGTGGGATGGGCAATGAGCATGACTCCCAGCAAACACACAACGGCCCCAATCATGTCGGAACCTTTCCATTGTTCTCCGGCAAAGCACACGGCGAATGCCGCGGCAAACGGAGGCGTTGTGAATTGTAATGTGACCGCGTCGGGTAAGGACAAGTGTTGAATGGCGTAAAAAAAGCACAAGACGGCCGCTCCTCCCATGCCGCCACGGACCAACAACCACCGTCGAGCCCGACCGGGAGGACCCACGAAATCTTGGAGTGAGGTAGTTGCGTTGGGTGATGATTTGTGACACAACCAGAGAGCAATGGGAATTTCCACCAATGCGCGGTAAAATGCCACGGTAAACGAATTGGCTTTGCCTTGCATCAATTTGACAAAGAGAAACATGCAACTAAACGAAAAGGATCCCAGCATGATCAAGATAATTCCCACCAGGGAATGAGCTTGATCACCAGGAGCATGATTGGTCTTGTTGCGACTCGAGAGAGTCAATGACAATGTCCGCACAAAATAGGGATGTTCTTGTTGTTGTGGCAGAGGAGTTCTATTGTCTTCCGAGTCTTCTTCGTCGTCCGAGTATTTGGGACTGCTGATCGTCGGTAGCAACGATTGGTCTTCCTTTGTGGTCATGGTGGTGCTCATGGTGGTGCGTCCTCGTCGAAAGAGAGTGCTGGTGGAGTGCATGCATGCATTCACCGACTGCAACAAGAAAAAGTGATAACCTACCCCACGAGGCACCAATGAAGAAAACCCTTGGGCCAGTGGCTTTATCGCCGTACGACCGATACGTGATTTTGTCCAGAATAGGAACCCTAAAAGTTGACACCGGAATTGGCCGATGCGAACTCTAGATTATTCTGAGAGTATCCACGAATGAAATGACGTCAGGTCACCCGGGGAACCGAACCTCTGGACCAACCCCGCATTGGCCAGTTAGTCCCGTTTCCGGTTCTGGTCCCGCCATTCCAAAATTGGTCCCCACATTCCAAAATTGGTCCCCATATTCCAAAATTGGTCCCCACATTCCAAAATTGGTCCCCATATTCCAAAATTGGTCCCCACATTCCAAAATTGGTCCCCCCTATTGGAGGCTACACCTATCTCTAGCTAGCTAGACTACGGGCATGATGGCGGGCGTTGGCACGTAAAAAAACGTCCCTCCTCGAAGCAGCAGCAAACCCAAACCTGTCCCCCCCAAAAGCCGCCATTCAGTATCCACCCCAAAAGTCGCCGGTATCTCGGTCTTAACTTGCTGTTTGACATCGTTGAACCTATCTACCTTCGTTCCTCATCATCCTATCTACCCATCTAGCTAGATCTACTAGCCATGTCTACTTCCCCGTGTGGTTCTGGCACCAACCCCAGTAGTGCCAACAAGCAAAAGCTTGCTCCTCCTGCTGAAGATTTGTTGTTGGATCGGCCAGATATTTGGATTGGAAATATCCTGCCATGTCTTGGTCTTGGGCACTACGCGTATATTGGTGCAGTCAACAAACAAATGAATCACCTTTACAAAGAATATTGCGACAAGCAGAAGAAGAAGGAGGAGGAGGAGAGCGGTGAAAGCACAACAGTCGACACCCACTACGAGACTTATTATAGTGTTGCTTTCTACAATGTGGCATGTGCCGAACACTGGCACTGCCAAAGACTCCAATATGGGAATGACAACGATCTGGGATGCACCGAGGACAGTGAAGATTTCTGTGACGTAACTAAGACAATTGCCAGTGTTGGAAGTATCCCCGTGCTAAAATGGGCCCTCGATAAAGAATACCCATGGAATGGAATGACCTGTGCGGGCGCCGCTAGAAAAGGCCATTTGGATGTTTTGAAATGGGCTCGCAAACACGGTTGTCCATGGAATGATTTGACATGTCAGTTTGCAGCTTATGGTGGCCATTTGGAACTGCTCCAGTGGGCTCATGAGAATGGATGCGACTGGAACACGATAGTATGCTCGGCTGCTGCCAGATTTGGCCATTTCGCATTGCTCAAGTGGGCAAGAACACACGGATGTCCATGGAACACATTGACATGCTCTGCTGCAGCGGAAGGCGGCCACTTGGAAATTCTCAAATGGGCCCGTGAGAATGGATGTCCATTGAGTGCCAACACATGCTCCAGTGCTGCTGGAAGTGGCCATTTACACATTCTCAAATGGGCCCGTGAGAATGGCTGTCCATGGGATGTTGCCACATGCTCCAGCGCTGTTGTGCATGGCCATTTAGAGATTTTCAAATGGGCACATGAGAATGGCTGTCCATGGGACAGACTCACATGTGCTTTTGCTGCAGATTATGGTCATTTGAACATTTTGCAATGGGCGCATGAAAATGGATGCCCATGGGACAAAGATATCTGTGCAAGAGCTGCTCGAGCAGGACATCTTGGAATTCTCAAGTGGGCCCGTGAGCATGGATGCCCATGGGATGAAAGCACAATCGAAGCAGCTTATATGCATGGTCATTTCGAAATTGTGGATTGGGCACGTGAGAATGGATGCCCAGCTCGAGATGAAGAAGAGTAAGAGGAATTGGATATTGATGAATTAGCATGGTAGAGACAGTGGGACTGAAGAGAAATAGTTGTAGGATGTAGTCTATTTCGACGAATAGGTTTTTCTCTATTAATAGTAGCTAGTCTAGCTAGATCGAAACTTGGTGTTTGCTTGTCTCTTGGTGACTTGTGGTACCTACTGTACCGGTACCGGTACCAGCACAGATCGTACCAGGTACCGGTACTGGTACAATTTTAAACAGCTTGACGTCGGCTTACAATCTTCGTCCGTCTTTGTGGCCTCATTCCTCATTTCTTTCTGCTGCCACCATGACGGAAGAAAGTGCTTCTATCGGCTCGGCTAACGGCAATGACAGAGGCAGCAACAGCCACAACAATAGTAGGCCAGAGATAGCGGACGATGACCTGATAGCCAACAAGCAAGGGGCTGGAATCCTCATGAGGACTCTGGAAAAAGGGCATGGATCTCGATTTCCAAAAAAGGGGGAACACTGTCAGGTAAGAAAGTTTGCTGCTCTGCTGAATCGAATCGTCAGATATGGGCTACAATACCAACTGGGCGTTCGTCTTATCATCACCTTGTTAAATATATAATAGATTCGCTTCGAAGGTCGCTTGGAAAATGGCACGGTTATCGCCAGTTCCAAACATCAAAAATCGGCGTTGCAATTCGAACTCGGGAAACAACACGTATTGGAAGGATTGGAAGTGGCCGTGGAACACATGTGTGTGGGACAAAAAGTGGAGGTGACAATACCACCGCTCTATGCCTATGGACATCAAGGATTTCCACCCAAAATCCCGCCACGGTCGACATTGATTTTCGTTTTGGAATTGGTGGATGTTATTAGTTCTGACAAGGAGTGAGGAGTGAGTGCAGTTTTGCAATTGGCGTCTACTATTACGGTCTATGCAGCGACACTTTGAAAAAGAAAGATTGAACATCCAAGGGAAACAGAAAGAGGAATCATACGTCGAATGGATTGGAATTTCATATCCTACCCTCTCTTTGGATGCACCACTTCTTTCGAATCAGCCAATCAATCTACGAGTATCCAAAGTGCACTCCATTTTCTGGAGTTCCCTTTGTGTTCGATAGCAACCGCACAGCCCTGAGGCAGGTTTGCTGGCTCAGATGGCTCAGTACGACAGAAGAAGCCACAGAGCAGATATTTCAGAAGCATGCTTTTCCAGGAACCAGCCAAGTGTATACTCAAAATCCCTCTCTGTACCGGTAGCCTCATTGATCTATCAAATGAATAGGACTTCATGCGCATGTCAAAACAAAAATGATAAGTTCTATTGTTGGGCAACATCAATGCATGTAGCTACCTAGCTAGAACTGCTCGGACCCAAATCAACGTCGTGGGGTGGATGGGCTTTGCGAATGTATACTCGTAACTTCGCTGCGGTCAATCCTCGTCGATCTCAGGAACTTTAATCTCATTCTCGTCGTCCTCGTCACTCTCGTCAGAGATTTCAACGTCTGCGTCTTCGTCCTCCAAGAGCTCGTCTTCGATTTCTTCTTCATCCGCAATTTCTGCAAACTGAAGCGGATCCTTGACAGGATATCTGTTAATGGCAAGGGCTGCTTCACGGCATAGGTTGCGAATCTCAGGGTGAAGACCGGCAACTACTGCGCCTCTTTCAAAGTCCGACTTGCGCATTGCTCGATAGGGCAGATTGGCAAGCTGTCGAACGGCATCCAAAACGCGGCTCAACGTTCGTGCTAGATCTCCGGGGGGAGATCCAGAGATTTCAAGTGCTTCACTCCAACTGCAGCCGGATGCCCATGCCGTCACAACATCGCAGTTGGACACGTCAAAGTTACAAACACGGGTATTCTCGTCCACATCAAACTCTTTTTGGACGTCCATCAGACGCTCCATCACTTGCAACGACGATTGGATCACTCGTTGCTGAACTGGTTCCATCTTTTGAAAAATGTCAATGACGGAAAGTCCTCCTCCGCTGTTTCGGGATCCCTCGGATATCAAGCAAGATACGTAACCGGCTAGCTGGCTTGGCTCCATGGTCCGTATCAGCGACACCAACTCTTCCGCTTCTTCTTGTGCTTTGGACAAGTTTGCTTGTGCACGTTCATCATCGTCGTACCAATCGCCTCCTTCCCTGTCAGCCTGCTCAATGGCCGATCGAAAGGTATCCAGTTTTGACGATGCCCCGACAACGTCCCACGTACCGCCAACGGCAGTCATGCACCACAATGAGTTGTCAAAACCAAGCATACCGAGGCTGTTACCTGCGGGTGAGATTTCAAAGCTTTCTTGCTCCAGGCTGAGGTTGTCGTGTTCGTTCAAGTCTGACTTCAGAGACAGACACCCGTACGCCACGAGAACTTTGATGATGGAAAGCATATCGTCCCACGTATCATTGACCGGTTCCTCTGCTTTGTCAGCTTGTTCCAATAGTGATAGAGGGTCCAGCCCAGGATTGGCAGTGGACAGCTTCCTCGTCTTGCGGCGAATGACAATGGCTGATTTTGAAAACCTGCAAAGGTCTTCTGGAGAAAGCGCTAGCCGACGCGTATCGCCGTCACCTTCATTGCCACCAAAGTTCGATTCGTATCCACGAACAGTCCGGAGATCGGCAAGAAGTGCCTTGCCTTCAGGACAATTTGGATCTTCCATCAGCTCATTTGCAATGTTGCCAATCTTGGTGAATGGATGTTTATTGATGTCTTTTTCAATTTTGGCAATTCCAGATCTTTGAAATTCAATCTGCTTCAACACTTCTTCCCGATCATCCTCGAAAAGCTCTCCCAACAGATCGTCCTCATGGTCTCCCTGGTTGGTTGTGGCAAGTTCGGCTTCGAGGTATCCTAACGTGCTTTTCTCTAGCTCTAACATTTTGACTGCGCCAAGATACGACTTGGATGCCTTCTTGAGGCTCTCTCTGTCATTCAGGATACCCACGAGAAATGCAACATAACTAACGTCGAACCTTGCTCGCTTCTTGTCTACTTGCAGCTGCAATGTTTCCACGAGCGTGATCATGAATCTTTCATGAGCCGACGCCTCCAATACCTCGCTAACACCTTCCCCATGAGTTTCAACAGCTGTTGCAATGTCTTCTTCAATTTGTGACCTTTCCCAGAGCGCAAAACTCTTGCCCACAAGCTGCTTGGCAACGTCCAATTTGCCTTGACCCCTGGCGACCAGGTTGACGGCAAGCGAATAGGACGGGCTGAATTGAGACGTGATGGGCTTGATGGGGTCGGTTAGAATTTTGGCGGCATCATCGTGATTCTCAAAGGGTGTGGCCACAATGACACAGTAGCCGTTTTCATCAAAGCCACGTCGTCCTGCCCTACCTGCCATTTGCAAGAGATTGCTCGTCTCTAACAGGTTCATGGAAGATCCGTCTCCTCGTTTTGCCAAGGCACAGATCACAGTTGTCCGTGCTGGCATGTTGATTCCAGCAGCTAGCGTTTCCGTGGCAAACACTGCCCTCATGAGTTGATTGCGGAACAAGATTTCCACGAATGACTTGTGAGCACTGGGTTATGTCGCGAGCAGAGCAAGAGATGTGTCGTTGTGAGATCCGATTGTTCCTCGAAGCAAACGACCGACGTCAGAGCAATCAATGAAACTACTTACGGCAACATCCCAGCATGATGCGACCCAACCCCAAATAAATACTGCATCATGATACCATTGGGAAAGGCAATCTCTTCGTTCTCTTGATTGAAGGCTTCAATCTTTGCAGCCACAGTTTCCACCTGCTCGTAACTGAGTAGGCCAGCCTTTGCATAGAGTTTGAAATTGTCCTTGCTCAACGGATCTTCCTCGTCAATGTCATCCTCTTTCAAAATGTCGTTGATTGATGCCTCCAGAACGTCGTCACTGACAAAGTCGCCATTGAGGCGAAACATTCGACCGTTGGCGTCTTGCGCAAGGTTGTTGTTTCCAAAACTTTGACGATTATTGTCGTTGTCGTTTCTTCGACTGCCGCGTTGCCTCGATTGTCGTTTGCGTTGCGGTCTATTAGTTGTATCTTCCAAATCATTTATGGAATCCCCGACGGGACCTCTCATAAAGTTGCATACATTCCGCGCCGCTTCGTCACAACCGGCTCGTGAAAAGAGGAAAAAGATGGCCGGCAAGAGATTCTTTTGATGCAATCTCTTGAGCAGTACGGCCAAGGACGGCACGGATCGTCTCAATTCTTGTTTGAGAAGACGTTCTCGTTCCCGCTTTTCGTCTCGTGGCGACATGGGGCCACTTTTTCGCCCTCGTCCTCGTCTGCCCCATTCCCAGTCGTCGTCGTCGTCATTCTTAGTATTGCTGCGATTGTTTTGTGTCATTTGACGCACTTTTTTGCGGTCAATGGCGCGATTTACTTTTTGGAGTCGTTTGTCGGCGGCCGCCTTGAGTTGCGGATTGATGTGTAAGCCTCTGGGGAGCTTGCTGTTGTGGTCGTCAGTGTCGTCATTGTCCTTATTTTTTCGTTTCCTCTGTTTCGAATCCTCCCCAGTCGTAACTCCATCCCCGCGCAATCCCAACAATCCCTTGGGAGCCCCGGGACCCGCTTCCGGGTCTTTGAAGAGAGGGAACAATCCCTCCTTGGTGGCAAAGAGATACCGCAAGGGGACGGGTCTTGGTTTTGTGGCGCTAGTATTGACGAGTACAGTTTTGCGTCCCGTGACGTGTTCCATCCACGCCGTGAGCTGGGGAGCATTGGGGAGTGTGGCAGAGAGTCCAATGAGTTGGGTATGAAGGGGAGATGTAATGACGCATTCTTCCCAGACACCACCTCGTCCGGGATGTCCCATGTAATGGAATTCGTCCAGGACACACATGGCATTTTGTTCCAAATTATTACGGTTGTCCAAAAGGTCTTGCTTTCGGACTATACCAGCCTTGCTAGAAGATGCCCGCCAGGCAATATTGCGGTAGACTTCCGTGGTCATGACCGTAATGGGTGCTCCCTTGTGAATGGAAATATCTCCCGTGGAGAGACCCACATTGGATTTGCCAAACATGGGACACAAGTCTCCGTATTTTTGATTCGACAACGCTTTCAAGGGAGTTGTGTAGATTGCGTGCTTTTGTTGCATCGTAAAGGCGACTCGTAGTGCCATTTCTCCCACCACGGTTTTTCTAATCACATTATGAAAAATGATAATACCATGTAAAAAATGATACCCACAAGTATACCCATGAAAAATGAAGCAGAATGTTAGAAAAGCTCATGGCCTCCATTTTTCTTTCCTTTTGCTGGACTGGATCTGGACTTACCCGGCACCAGTAGGAGCACAGACAATGACATTGTATCCTTCTAATATGGCTCCTCCTGCTTGCAGCTGCCAATCATCGAGTGGAAAATCAAAGTATTGCTGCAACTCATCTTGGCCACGTTGAATCTGGTGCTCCACTTCTTTCTCTTCTTCTTCTAATTCCCTTGAAATTGCTTCTGATGGGCTGGACCTCAGTGCACTCTTGCGGAAATAATTGGTTGTCTTGGTGGCGAAAGTAGCAATATTATTACCAAAAATACCAAACGCACAAGTCTTCTTGATTGGCCATCCCAGTGTGATTATCAAGCAGAACCCTGCGGCTGCCCAAGTCCATTGTCTACCTGCACTAACCATTCTGGGAGATGTATTGATATGGCTTTCTAATAATATGGCTTGGTTATTAGTTTAGCTAGCTACATGAAAAAATGAAGGATCTAAAAAGAGGCTTGCGGAGTTGTTGGATGGACGGTGTTCTGGTAAAAGCGTTCTTGAACTGACGTACTTGGTTGCAAATCTTGACACCTCCATTGGGGTTAGTGTTCCCGAGTGACGAGTGTCAGTCGAGACGTACGAATTCGAAAAAAAAGAAGCCAAGAGGCGTTCTTGTTTTAAATCTTTTTGATTTCAGGGAGAACGTTCTTTTTGAAACGCGCTTCGAAATTTAAAAAAAAAAGGCCCTTAGCTTTGATGCGAAAAACAAGCTCTCTTTCTCTCGCAAAAACAAACCCACTTCTGTCTTTTTCTTCCTCTCCAAAGACATGCATGACGATGACATCCTTGCCGGTGCTGCTTGTCAGCTGCTTCGTGCCTTGTTAGGAGAGTGATTGGGCTTCCCCTCTGTGTGGGGTCGTCCTGGTCACTCTTCACCGGCAAGGGTGTTATCTTGCGGTGGTTCCTGTGTCGTCGCATCCATCATCAAATCATCCAACACAATTCGCCAACGGTCATCCTTCGGAAACGCAAACCATCTCAACAAAAGGTCAGTTCCATACACTTCTCTCTCTCAAGTTTGTAACACTTTCCGGTGCTGCTTGCAGCCGCTCCTTCGGGGGCCCTGTGGAGTTGGCTCGCCGGTACGCCCCGGGTCAATTCGCTGGAACAGTCGTTCATTTTCTCTATTATTATTTCTGAGACCAGTCTTACAAACCTTCGTCGCTTCTACCTTTTATTCTAGCTAGGATGGATCTGGCAAGGCTGCCGGCAGTGGAAGGAAGATTGGTCGGTCGGTCGGTCGGTTAGGCGTTGGCTCCTTGGCATTGGATTGATCGGTCCCTTGGTTGGCTGCCGTGTGCTCCGTGACCCATTCTAGCAAGTGGTTCCTGGCTCTGTTGGTGGTTCCTGTGGTTCGTTTGTTTGGTTGGTCGCCTAGTGCTCCATTGCCTAGTGCTCTACGGCCCTTGGATTTGATCGGAAAGTCTCTTCGGAGGTTTCTATTTCGAAATGATTATCCAAGAGTTCTACAACCTTGTTCCTTGGTGGTTCCTGTGGTGGTTCCTGTGGTGGTTCCTGTGGTGGTTCCTGCTGCTGCTTGCTGATGTTGGTGGTCCCTGTGGTGGTTCCTGTGGTGGTTCCTGGTGGTCCCTGTGGTGGTTCCTTTGGTTGGTTTGTTTGGTTGGTCGCCTAGTGCTCCATTGCCTAGTGCTCTATGGCCCTTGGATTTGATCGGAAAGTCTCTTCGGAGGTTTCTATTTCGAAATGATTATCCAAGAGTTCTACAACCTTTTTCCTTGGTGGTTCCTGTGGTGGTTCCTCCTGCTGCTGATGTTGGTCGATCATCTGGTTCCGTCTGTCGTTTGGCTCTTTCACGCTGCGGTGGTGTGTCGGTGGTTCCTGTGGTTCTCCGATACACGACCCTTCGATCTGGCTGGCTGGTCGTGTTCGTCGAGCTCAAGTTCACTCTTAGTTAGATAGCTTAAGTCTCACACTTCTTCTCTCTCTTGACTTGCCGAAGCCAGGTTGCGGAGATCTTCTTTGTCTTTTGGGCTGGTCGTCTCAGTCAAGACTTGTGTCCATGTCAGAGGAATCAAGGTCGGCGCATCAACTCAAGTCGGGCTCGGTTCTTTTGGTGTCTGCTTCGTCCTTTGGGTCAGCTTCCGCCTTCCGCTTCCAGATCGACGGGGGTTGGGTGTCCTTCGCCAGGCACTGACACCAGACCGCCAGCGATTGCCGTCCTTGCATCATCAGATACCTTGAGCCGATGCCTTCTCACCGTCTTCTTCGTCATCGTTCGTTGCCCTCAGCCTGACTCCTCACCGTCCATCTTGCCGTCTTCTGCGTCATCTTCTTCGGCTTCCTTGTCATCTCCCGCGCCACCAGCCGCTGCATCCAGGTTCAAACGCCGCAATGATTCCACTTCGTGCCCTCCAGCATCTGCTTCGTCAATCCTTAGCCGATGCTTCGTCTTCATCCTGACCATCGGCCAGAACCAGCTCCGCCCGATCCAGACCGCCAACTCTTGAGGTTGATGCTCCTTCTTGCCATCGTCTTCCAACGACTTCAGCCAACGATGCAATTCTTCTGTGCTGTTCTTCTTCCAACCTCGAGGCGAAGGCTCCTCTTGCTTGCATTTTGTGCGGCTCTTCCTTACTTGTGCGGTGCTCTTAATTCCTTTTCCTTTTCGGTTGGCTATTCAGCTCTCCGGATTGAGCTGGTCCTCTGGAGTGGGCTGCCCGGCCAAGTGCCAGCATCGCTTTCACGCCCTGCCCTGGTGTCTTTAGTTCGTTCTTTCTTTTCATACGTTTAGCTATCAGTAGGTCCCAGCTAGCTTCACACCGTCTCAGCCTTCTTTTGTTTCATTCTGTTGGAAAGACAGCCTCAACGTGAACTCTAACGAAGTCGTGCCGGTGCCCGGGAAGCCGCAATCGCTCAAACGTCTTTTTCCAGTTTTGCCGTGGATTCCGACCTCAACCTCACAAGCTATTCCGACCACTCTAACCCCCTTTTAAATTGCTCGATCCTACGAACCAAAGAAGATTTGCATCCGCCGCTTCTGTTCGGATATTTGGCCGTGCACTTCTATTTTCACGATGCCACAAGTCCATGACCAGCCAAACGAGCAAAAATAGATGTTGATGAAAAGTGGTTGCCAGGACGGAGTGACTATTACGTACGTACAAGGGCCGTCTTGGAAACGATGGACACGCACGTCCGCACAGCTTAGCTAGCGGTTTCCAAAAGCAATGCGATGCATCAATGATTTTCCAGAGGCGAAATCTATTGTCCGACCCAGGCATGCACCAGGTGGGTTGTTTGAGATGGCTTATCTCTTTAATAAAGGTGCGTATGCCAGGTGACTCAAGGCTACCACGAGTATATATACACCTCGGTTGTATCCAAGCAAGGTAGTGATTATTGAGTTCTTGGGAGTGATTGCCATACATGTCCTTGTGTTCATTGTTGGGTTGACCACTCTTCGATACTTATATATGTTCATCGTTGGGTTGTTCCTGTCCTGTTTCAATTGCTATGATGACACCTGGCTGCTGGCAGAATCACCATCTGTCCTCATTTTGCTGTCCGTGTTGTCGTTGTTGGCTGCCATTCTTGCCTTGCCACCATCCTTACGATGATCGGCCGCATAGTCTGCTTTGCGTTTTTCGGTTTCAATGATCAAGATGAGTCTTGCCCGGTAGATGTTGACACATCCTGCCACCGTAAACAACATGGATCCAAAGATGTAGAGAATCGCTGCAAACTGGAACACAAGGTCATTGTCCTTGTCCGTGTCAAGATCAAACAAATAGGGTACTGATGCCGATAGGTACAAGGTGGAACCTGTAGCAAAAAAAAAACTGGCTAGTGAGATAGATAGACACACACAAGAGGTGACAGCAAAAGTACTGGAGGTTGCAGGCGTTTTCTTACCAACCACATAAAAGACAGCCACAAGATTGGCATAAAATGCCGTCAATCGAGTTGGAGAATCAAATATTTGAATGGAATTGACCACAGCTCCCACCACAAAGAGAATGGATCCCATGATAAAATTGATGGCTCCGCCCATGTACATTTCGACATGTGGTAGAAAGAAGATGCTGCCCAGGATAAAGTTGATGGCACCAATGGAGTAGCTGGTGGCAGCCACCAGATCTGCCAAGTTGTTGGGGTTGAACATACCGCCATGGTTGTTGATTTCAATCAAGTCATGGCCGGACACGGTCAAGTACAGGATGGATGCCACAATAAAGATCCAGGCTCCCACATATTGGACGTCTTCGTATTGGGGCAGGAACAGGATGGATCCAATGGTCAGCAACACTCCTCCCAGAATGTAAAAGACGGCATTGACAGATTCCCAAAAGTACTCCCTCCGCAACTCGTCCAATGACACTGGAATCACATTGGCTGAGAACAAACGGGGTCGATTCACAAACACATGAGGCATTTTTTTTATCTAATGAATAGTGGCTGATACCGGTAGCTACCTTGATAGCTTCTCCAAGGTAGTCTACTAGCTGTTGTCATTCGTCAGTTTTGCGTGCTCTATTGTCGCCGCCTCTTCCGTCGGATCCAGCAGAACAAGTTTAGCCCCGTCATTGTTCTGTGGCGTTCTTTTTGGAACGCAATTCGAGCAAGGTACGTGGCAGCAATACAGTAGCAATAATAATGGAAATGAAGTGCTAAAGGAAGACGCTGGCTAGTTTGTATAGTTCTGGAATCCGAAAAGTCCGTCCGGTTCATCTAGCTACTCTACTAGCTACTACTAGTAGCTAGACAATCTGAGAGGGGTACAATGATCTCTAGCTAGCTAGCAAGTATGAAACCAAAGACACCCCACCAGCCCATAGTCCACTCTAACCACATATTAACCCGCTCGTTCACCTAACAAGCCCAGTCGGATGGCAACTTCACCTCTATTGTTTCCTCGCGGAGAGAATGATGGCAAACGCTACGGCACAGAACTGGCAGACAATTGACAAGAAGGAAGAATAACAGCTTGCTACAGCGGTACAATATGTATTGCTTACGATGCAAGTAGCGCTGGCAACGCCAAGGCAAACGCAGCCAAGCACCAAAAGTAGGAAGCCAAAATGGCCATGATCGCACCAAAGTCTGGATAGCAGTCATCGCCGTTTGACTCGCATTGAATTGAATTCAACAAACACAAAGGTACAAGCTGAGCAACCGTGGCTACCAGCAGTGGTGTAATCAGCCAGAGTTCTTTGGCTCTTGTCTTCTTGCCTGCTTTTGCCCCGAAACAACACAGGAACAAGAGACCAAGGACGCAGCAAATCCCTCCTACGATTGTGGCCATCGTGGCGGCAATCCGAGCCACCAATAGAGGGTCATCCTGTTCGTATTCCACGGTGCGAAAGTTGGAACGGCATTCTCCACCTCGCACATACTGAATGCGGTAATCATACTCGTCGTCCCTAATGCGTTCGTGTTGGTATCGAGTCCGCCACAGTCCCAATGCCAGGAACGACGGATCTTCGTACAACTTGAGAAACTCACAAGACGCATGCACGGTGATGGACATGCAAAGTGCCAGAACCAGAGCAATCTGATACAAGGGGAACGATAGCTTCTTGGGTTGTTGTGATGCCGTGTTGTTGGCGACACCGTCTTCCGCATCGCCCGGTACTTCAATCTCTTGCCGCCGCCGTCGCTGGCAACATGCCTGAACTATAACTGCAAACAACAGGATGACGCCCAAGGCCCCAATTAGCAAGATCAGAATAGCCTCCCAATTTGTACCCGACGCTGTTTGTTCACTTCCCTCGACGAAGTGTGTTGCTGTGGACGAGTATGTTGCTATGTCATCGGGAACGACACTGCCTGTACCGTTGAAGGAGGAAACACCATTACTTGCCATCGTCGCGTTCGTTATTCACTGATTGATTGATCCAAAGGTTTTGTGGTAGAGTTGAACTGAAAAACAAATACAGTACTGGTGCTGAAAGCTACTGAATGATGGGAGGAAGGACAGCTCCCGAGCCACAGTCGTCTTTTGTCGAACAGAGCTTCAAAAATCAACGGAGTGACAGTCCAGACAACTCCGCAGAGATCCATTCGAATCTGCCTCCAAAGATTCGATTCCCGCGAGAACGCTGGTCGTGGAGGAGAGAAGCTCTCTGGGCTACCAGTACCAGTACGACCTGTACCTCCCTATTTTTAAGAAGACATCCATTTCAAACTGTCGTCCGCGAAACCTGCATGCTGCTGCACGTACCAGCATTAGTTCTACCAATTGCGCCGCTCTGCCTAAGCTTAGCCCCCCTCGCTCATTAACGTATCTATTTAGTATCTGTTTCTCATGTTCTACCAATTGCGCAATCAAACTTATTTGTATTCACTTCCTTGGGCGGCACAGTGCTTGATCTTTTCCTTGCCGACATCTATTTCTTCGCGCTAAGCTCGCTAGCTACTCATCTGCCTAGGGACGCAAAAGGGTCTCGGTGGCGTTGGTAGCTCCTTCCAATTCTTCACAGGCTTTCCATTCACTCAGGAGATAGTCAACCACATCGCGAGAGGAGTATCCCAATCGCCCGCTCTCTTCGTCCTTCTGAATGAACTTGCGGCAGTTGTTCACGTCATCTCCAATCGTTATGAGCGAGGGCTCCAAGAAAAAACTCTCCTCGGTCTTGCCGTATACTTGAGGATAACCCGCATCCGCGCAGAGTGCGTTGCAAAGGCACTTGCGCCCTTCTGTTTGCTCCTGAGAACCTCCCTTCTTCACGAACTGATCCACGGGCTCCGAAGCACAGCGAAATCCAATCTTTCCGTCAGGGCGGACGTAGGCGTTGCGCAGGTAACCAAGGTTGCAAACGCGGTCTCGTGCTTCGTACGTAGCTGGATCCGCCAGTGTACCTTCCAGACCCAATACCTTGAAGGGAAAACCAGTGGGGGAAGCAACAGGGTCTGTGAATACCTCAAGATCGTGATCCATCAACTCGTTCAAGATGCGTTGGCGGGTTTCATCTTTCATACCACTCTCTTGGCTCAAGGCAAATGCTGTTCCAACCTGGACACCGGCTCCTCCGATTTCCTTGACTTGGGCAAACTTTTCTGGCTTGGCGTAAGACCCAGCCATCCAAAAGGGAAGTCCCTTGACGGCTTTTTGGAATTTGGTCAGGTCAACGTCGTCTTTTGGTCCGTAGACTGGTTCTCCTTTCTCGTTCAGATCCATGGCGCCACGGGGCGGGGCGTTGTGACCACCTGCAGTGTTCAGTTCCACCACAAACCCATCGATGCCCTTTGTGGGGCCCTTTCCCGAGGCGCGCTTGAGCATGCTCTGGGCCAAGACAACACTGGACACAATGGGAAGAAAGTCTGGGCGCTTGAGTTCCTTGTTGAGCTCTGGCTTGCCTGCCTGTTCCCAGAAGTCTTGTGGAGAGAAGGTCAAGGTGGGTTCAGGTGTGTTTTCCAAGAGAGTTCCTTCGATATGAATAGACTGAACGCAATCTTGAGCTTCGGCCAGATTGTCTAGGATTCCCGGGATGGCCATGGGAATCCCAGCTCCCATGATGATATAGTCCACATCCGCGAGCATGGCACCATAGAGGGAAGGGATAGTGGGAAGCTCGACCTTGGTGAGCAAGTTCATACCAACAAGGCCTCCTGTCGGCTTGCTGTCGTCATTATGCTTGGCCAACCACACTTCACAATAGTTCGCCAGCACCGTCGCTTCCAATAAAGACTGCTGCGGTTTGAGACTCCACATTGGTAGGTGCTTGAAGGCTGCGTGCTCATCTTTGCCTCCTTCCACGAAATACTTGTCCATGGCTCGCTGAACCATGTCTTGGTCCGGGAATGTTGCAAGAGCACGACGAAACGCTCCATCAGGGTCGCCCAGTTGAAGGCCTCGAATGAAAATGGTGTCCATTCCGCTACCAGATATGACGCCAAGTTCGCCCGTTTTGGAAACCTCTCGAGCAAGCTCCCAGGAAGAGATGCGAATGCCCATTCCTCCTTGGATGATCCTTGGAGGTGGCGTCATTGTCGACAAAGAGGCCACTGGAGAGGCAAACAGGGCGAGCCATACAAGATGTAGTGCGAACATGTTCAAGAACGCGACCATGGTGAGATACAAATCCTTTGAGCTGATACTTGGCAGCTAGTAGTTTGGTTTAAAGTCTTTTTTTTTTGTGAGCAAAAAGATACCATTTTTGCAAGGCCAACTGTGATCGATGACTTCGCGGTTTGGCAGAGGTTGGTCAGCATTGGGTTTGTACTGGCCTACAGTAGTTGCCACGCTAGTGGAGCTTGGCTGGATTCGCATTGCCCCATAACGTAGCTTCGTGGCTGTTGTGCTAGATAGCGGATCCAGAGGTATTGGGAGCCCGAGATCGGCACGGCTAAAGCCATTGTCCTCCCATTGGTCAAAAAGCATTCTTTCCAGAAAGGAATCTTTTGGAAACGAAGCCAAATGGATGAGAGCACCAAGAACGGTTCTCATTGTCAGTCGTTTGCTTCTGGATCCGCTCTGTTTCCAATGAGCTCTTGCATTTCTACGGACGCACTCTGTGATCCCAGCATTGTCAAAAGAAGCAAGAACACGCAGTCGGTTATAAGCCAGTGAGCACTGTAAAGGAATTCTTCAGAGCAAGCTGTCTCCTCGGACCCTGCCAACTACCGTAGGACCCGTCGAGTCTAGGAAAGGAAGGGGAGAGCCGCTCGTTGTGTACGACCGTACTGCATTCTTTCTTCAGCTTCTCATCAGCCGTGGAAAATGGTCCAAAAAATAATGATCGAGGGTGCTGGTGAGGCAGCCGTTGCTTTATTCGAACAAGCAATGATTGATTCAAAGGATCATGCAGCTCTCCACAGAGGAGCGAGAGCGATGCTTGGATTGCTACTAGCTAGAATGATTGAATGAATCATTCGATTTTGGAGCCCAGTCAGGTCTGATCAATCAAGAATTGCCTCATTCCCACCACACGCACGGTATAAGCACCCAGCCAGGGACGGAAACTCCTAGCTACTGGACGAGGTACCGTACTACTGTACCGCCTGTGATGCATGACTGTGTGGCTGATACCCAGCCAACAATCTGCATACGGTACCAAAAGCTACCCAGACACATTCTATCACAGTGATATATTTTTCCGCTCCATGTTGCCCTCTGTGCATATGATAGCTCTATCTATCTACCACTAGCTAGTAGCTAGTCTAGTCTATGTAGCAGTCACAGCTCGAGACGAGGTCCTGATTGTCATTGGCTGCTCGGAACGAACCAAGCACAGTCACAGAGTTAGTTGTTAGTTGTGACCTGGCGGGATTCCACGTGTTGATGAAAACTAATCATAACTCTGCAAGCTAATTACTAGCTAGTTCAACGGTTCGAATCGCCGTCATCGCACCAGTGCGCCATGTCATAGCATTTATCAATTGTCCAACCACCTCGCTCTTTTTGAAATCTTTTTCACTGGTTGATGATACAAGTGGAGCCATGAATGAATGAAGAGCACTTGGTTCTTGCAGTGACGGTTGGTCCCACAACAACAAACATAGACAGAAAGAGTAGCTTTTATAGTTGACGATGAAGACCGTAGTTGAGCCTCCAATGATTGACGCAGTGTGTGTTGGTGTGAGCAACAGTTCATGTAGCTCCAAGAAGAGGGCGTTCTCCGAAGCATTGGTTCCCATGTCCAGTACTACTGCTATTAATAGTACTATATGTAGTAGTGCCGTCGAGGAGGACTATGCTACTGTTGTGAATTTGAAGAAGAAGAAGAAGATCAAGGGGAGTGTCTCTCCTACTACTAGTAGTACATGTACGACATCGGTAGAAGAAGAACTTGCCACCAATGACAATCAAGACAAAGACAACCAAACCGGCTTGACCTTTGAGTCAGGAGCACTACACGTGGATTCGCGCAATCGATTACACCGAGAACGACCTACTCGCATTCTGGCCATTCGAACAGCTCTGGAAAATGCGCCCAACAATCTGTGGGCCAGATGTCAACTGTTGGATGACTCCAATGATACTACTACAGGTACTACTAGCCAGGCCGTGGATTTCTTGAATGACGAGGATTACTTGCGCGTCCATTTGCCAGGATACATGAAACGTTTGAATCGCATTTTCGACAAGAATTGCCACTGCTGTACGCAAGACCGTTTGGACGACGAAGCCGCACAGTACGAATCCATTTACTTTACCAACGATTCCCTCCAAGAAGCCAAAAAGGCAGCCACATCACTGTGTATGTTAGTCCAACAAGTCACATCCGACAATCTCCACAATGGATTTGCCATTATTCGTCCTCCGGGACATCACGCAACACCCTACCAAGCCGGAGGCTACTGTATACTCAACAATGTCGCTGTGGCTACGGCATTTGCACAAGCCAAGTGCGCCGCAAAACGAATCTTGATTATCGATTGGGATGTCCATCATGGAAATGGCACTCAATCCATTTTTGAAAGTGATCCCACAGTCTTGTACATTTCCGTCCATCGCATGTTTTATCCATATGGCGGTGGCAGTAGTCCAACTTGCGTCGGAAAAGGACAAGGACGCGGTAGAAATGTCAATATCGGATGGACTACCAAATGTATGGGGGATGACGAATATCTGGCGGTGTGGGAACGACTGGTATTACCCATGGCAAGAGAATTTCAACCACAACTCATTCTAATATCGGCCGGATTTGATGCCGCTCAAGGGGATGTAGGAGAATGCTGTGTCACACCGGAATGTTACGGTCGCTTGACACAGTCTCTCATGACTTTGAAGGTCCCCATTGTGGCGGCTTTGGAAGGAGGATATGTACGGAGTGTATTGGGGAAGTGTGTGACACAAGTTGTCACGGCATTGTTGGATCGGGACAGTCCACAGAAAAGTATACAACAAGATGAGCGTGATCGAATTGAACGGGGAAAAGATGTGGATATCCTGGATTCTATTTCCCCCGTGGCGGCCAAGAACATTCGAGCCACCATCCAGGCACACGAACCATTCTGGGAGTGTCTCCGGAAATAATAAACAGAACAACCAACCTATCCTTCTTTGAGTTATTCGACGCCAACATGGAATCCTACTCAGCCAGTCCCTACAAGTTATGCAAAATTTATGTAACCAATCTACTGAATCTGTTAAAGCATGACGAGGAGTCTTTTATTAAGTTCCTGCCATTACTAACTGAAACGGATGGACTCATCATGAGCAAGAAGCCATCAATCAGCCGGTCCATTCAGCTTTGGAACGCGAGCAGGCGAGCATTGGTGTCACAATCCAATTCCAGTACTGGTAGCTGCTGGACAAGGTGCTTCCTACTGTATTTCGATAATCAGCGCATCACTTACTTGCGCTCTTGGCTTTCATTTGCTTCGATACGATCAGCAGCGGTTGAAACAGACCTTGGTCTATAGAACATTTAGTAGGAGAGTTTAATTACCCTACATGTACAACATCAACTATCTGCAGCGATTTCTCGAGTTTGCTTGTCAACTCATGATTACTCTTCGTCTTCGTCGCTTTCATTGCCATCATCGTCACGTTCCACTTCTGCCAGTGTCGCACGGGGGATCCCTGCCGTACGCCCAAAGATGGACGGATAGTAAATGGCATGGGCAAAGAGGGCAGTGCCCACACCCAGTTCTATTCCTGCAAGAACGTCCGTGGGATGATGCCAATCATCTCGGGCGCGAGACACGGCAATAAAGATACCCAACAAGGTGGGAGCCGTGGCGAGCAGCAACAAGACTTTTACAAAATACGAAGGAGCCCAGTAGCGTTGACTGCGGGGTTGGCGTTGTCGTGCCCATCCAACAATCTTGCCCATAATGTAAAAGGACCATAGAATGCCGCTGGTCATGGCGGTGGCGGCATGTCCAGAGGGAAAGGATTGATAGCCATGCTCCGCACCGACGTTGCCATCACCATCCCCACAATCCAGAGTTGTCGTGTTAAAGTCGCAGGCGGCATTGAAAAAGTTGGGGCGCCACCAGCCGGTGTAGCGTTTGACTGCTTCGACCACGAGAATTTTGGTCGAAATGCCCCACAGATACATGGCTACAGCCGAGTGTGCATCGTTTTTGGGCCCCAACAGATTTCCCGTCAAGACATAAAACGCTACAGGGGCATAGAACGTCATGGAATCCGCCACAAAACCGGCTTCGAAGGTAGATGGCAGCTTTGGCTGGTTGAAACGGTTGTCAAAAATGACATCGCCAGCAGCTGTAGTTTGGAAGGGAAGGGGGCGTGTGTGTTGTTCCATTGCCCAGTCTGGATTGTGCAAACAACAATCACACAAATCAGCCAGAGCAGTGAGATGATATATCATTCCATTCTTCGCTGGAAGGCTAGCGACCCGTCAATCTCACAAAGAAACTTACGAGGAATCTGGTAGCACAAAAGCAGAAATACAGCCAAGATAATAATTTCTAGTGGCTTGTGCATGGAATAAGCATATTTGACGCCATTCTTGAACATGGTCGAAGGAGATCGAGGAGGCCATTGGACGGCTTGAATGCGTTCTGTGGCGCGGGGTTTGGTGGTATTCGCAGCAGCAGTTGCCGAAGCACCTGTTTCCAGATCTTTCTCAAGGTCACCCGTCATTGTTACCACGGTGGTTGGGTTGCTAACTTCGTCGTCCTGTCTGTTGCCTTGACTGGTCATTGTGCTGTTGTCGTTGGTAAGGTCTGCTGCTGGAATTCGTTTGTATTTGTGATGTTTGTTTATCATCAAGTTGGGATTGTGAGCCTTGCGAGAGAGCTCGAGAAGAGGTGAGTGGTGGGAATTGAGAATGATCTCGAAGGTTCGTGCTGCCATCCCAAGGGTTCCCATGCAGAGATATCATTGTTCCATAAACGATGCTAATTAGTGCTAACTGTTTCATAGAACCAATAGATCGAAAACTCTGCAAATGTAAAGATACACGGTAAATGCGAGTGGGTCAAACCACGAACGAAAATCAATCCCACAGTTCCACGAACTTCATCCAGCTCCATCAATTGATGTTGCGAAGCTTGACAACACAACGAACTCGCTTCAGCAGAGGATATTGATGAACGAAGAACCCCTGCTTTTAAAGCCTGACAACGCAACGAACTCGCTTCCAGGCGGGACGTCTATTAGCTATTAGTAGGCAATGGAAGATACCCACCTTTTCACCCATCATCTGAAAGACCAATTATCCAAGGCTCCCGAGCCCCACAGTGTCTGTCCCATCTGAACCCATGATTTGCTGAGTTCATCATAGTAGGCAGCGGTATGTGGACATTCCCTGTATACTTCTGGCCATTGCTGTCGTCCGCATTGCGTCCTACAGCCAAAATGGTTCCATCATTGGACATAGCAATTTTTCAACCAAACTTGCAATTGTAGATCCTGGCCAATTTGCATGTATCCCAACCCAGACCACCATGGTGACGGGTGCACAATGCCTAGATAGATCCTAGCCAGCTCCAACAAGTATGATTCCATACTGGAAGATCTCAGGAAAAGGTTGTTGAGGATTGATGTTAGCAGTTTCAGATGACCTTGCCAACTCCAATGGCAAAAATCAGCAACAACAGAAGCCCACCAATGATATAAATGTACATCTTTCTCCATGCCGTGTACGGCGAAGCAACTTCCGGTTCTTTTCCACGAAAGCTCTGACTCAACAAGAGGTCCATCTGCCTGAGATGCAGCGCGGTGAGTACGGCATGACAGGGTGACGCGGTCCCCTGTTCAGGGTCATCGTGATTAGTATTAATACCAATGCCTGCCAGTGGGTGATGCTCCTGGCTGAGGCGGAAGTGCAGGAAGGAATGTATTGTATGCTTTTTCTGTGGCAAGTCAACAATGCAATCAGGCATACGAGTACCAGGACTGGACGGAAGATGAAGCAAGAGATTGCTTTCTGCTCTTTTATCTGCTCGCTCTCTACTGCTGCTGCCAATCTGCGGATGCTGAAAGTTCCGATGATGCCTGATGCAACAGTGCATTCTGTTTCACACTTTTCGAGTCAGATTTCTCCTTGGCAAAGCCTCTGTCCGTGCTACTAGGGTACTGGAGTTGGAAGTCGAGGTCGGATTGCTATAAGCGTGGGCATAATATTATTGTAGCCAGTCAGTGGTTTGCCTACCGTAGCTAGTTGCTTGACTATGCCAACCTCGTACATGTACTTCTTCAATTCGAAGGTCTTTCGTAGATCTACTTGTTGGCAAGGAGACTGATCGTGTGTCTGAGCAGGGGCAAACAGAAACAGTCTTGACCCCTCGTCGTCTTGATACAGGGATAGACATCACTGGTAAACAGCAGGTTCACCTGGATCAAGGTTCATCAAATTGGGAAATTAAAGACAACATGCGATCTGTCCGTCTTCCGTATTCCCTTGTTTTTCATCTTGAAGGTTGATCAATCTGTACGGTAGTCCCTGTAAGGAACACAGCGCTAGCAGCGTGCAGCATTGTTTGCTTCGCAGTCCCAGCAGTCGTTGCATGATGGTAAATGCTGTTCGTGTTCCTTACCTAGCTGGTGGTACCGTCTGGAAGAAAGATCCAGGTTCACTTTAAGTCTTCAGATCGGATGCTCCGCATCGCGATACTGTTATCGGATCTTTTCACTGAATAATGTATTCCATTGTACCTGTGCTAAACTCAATTGTTTTCTTCATCTCCGTAGACTCGAGAAGTCCAGTTCTTGGCAACAAATTGTTGAGCGTTCATGAGAATCCAGAAGGTGAGGTATTATTTTCAGGAGTGACGAACAACGTAGCTAAGCAGCCTCTCTCTTTTCGGTTGGTCCTGTACTCCGAGTGAGCCCCGTGTAAACTGAGGACACACTCTCACAATAAACTGAAATAATCAAAGCCACAAATTCAAATCCCACAAAACCAAACTTCCCACAAAACCAAACTTCCAACATGATGATCACTTTCATTGCCCTTTCCCTCCTTGGCAGCTTGTCTTCTACCAAGGCTCAGACTACTGTTACATACTCTTCTTCTCCTAACTTGGCGATTCCAGGATCTGGAACTTCGGGTAGCGTTAGTGACAGCATCTTTGTAGATGCCAGCTTTGAAATATGTGATGTCGACATTTCAGTGGACATCACCCACACTTGGACTTCTGACTTGGAGCTTGATCTCACCATGGATGGACCAGACCCAACAACTGACCCTGTTGATGTGATTCGGCTTCAATACGATGATTGCGGGTCCAGTGATGACCTTGTTGTTACTTTTGATGATTCCGCTACCGAAAGTCTCAATGGAGCTAGTAGCTCCAATAACCTTTGTAATCAAGATGGACTAGAGGTTCAACCGGAGGAGGCTCTTTCTACTTTCAATGGCCACCAATCCATTGGTTACTGGACATTAGACATCAATGATGATGCTGGTGGCGACACAGGAACACTTAATTCTTGGTCTATTATCCTCACATCTTGTGAAACAATCACTGATGGTGCTGGCACTGGTGACCCTCACTTCAAGTCCTGGGCTGGCAAGTGGTTTGATTTCCATGGAGAGTGTGACTTGGTCTTTGTTGACAGCCCCAAGTTTGGACATGGAACTGGATTGGCGATCCACATTCGAACCAAGGCCCGGTACCAGTACTCTTACATTGAGTCTGCTGCTGTTCAAATCGGAGACAGTGTTCTAGAGGTTGGTGAATATGGTAGCTACATGTTGGATGGCATCTCCAATGCTGATCTGGACTCTGAGAAACTTGACAGATACACTGTCATCCACAAGAAGATCAACTCCAAGCAAGATGTTTTCACCATTGAGCTGGGAGAGGGAAAGAAGATTGTCATTCAATCCTTCAAGGATCTTGTCAGTGTCAAGACAGTTGGTGCCAGCAAGGAAGAGTACCGTGGAAGCCAGGGTCTCTTGGGAGAATTTGGAACTGGCAAGTTGCTGTCCCGCAATGGAACCATCATGACTGATCCTGATGCCTTTGGCAATGAATGGCAAGTCCTTGAAACTGAACCCAAGCTCTTCCAAACAGCCAGGTTCCCCCAGCACCCAGTGCAATGCAGTATGCCTGGTCCTGAAAGAGATGGACGCCGCCGCCTTGGCGAATCCACCATTTCCATGGAAGCTGCTGAGGAGGCATGTGAGCATTGGGGAGACTTGAAGGACCAATGTGTCTATGATGTCATGGCTGCTGAAGATTTGGAGCTTGCCGAAGCTGGAGCATTCTAAGAGCAATTCTTTGTTTGCTTGCCTTGCGTTCCTGCATCGTGCCCTCCCCTCTCTGTCCCCATCCTCCTCTTAGCTCTCTCTAACCCAAAGTAACTTTCCCATTAGATTTTGTTTATTTATATATTTGAGAAAGCTTGGAGGTGTGAACTCTGTGCTGGCCTTGCTGTGGATGCGGGCACTGTTGGAGAGCGCTCTGTATGTGGATCCCACAAGTTGATGCCCATCGGACCGCGCGTTGGTCCCAGGGTACCGCACACCTTTCATGTCACAGCGGCGTTACTCTGAACCTTGGTCTCCTGTTTGCGGCTCCTCTTCTTTTCCTAAGCCTGGCCCCGCCGGCTTCCATACTCTAGAGCCCTTCTTAAATGGACATACTGCCTGCAATTCAGAAGAATGATTCGATTCAATCGAAATAGCGTACAGTCGTACGTGCATTCTTACTTTGGAGTAGTCTTGTTTGGTTTCTGGACAGTACGGTAGCAGATGGCGGCATTGGCACGACAAAAGAGCCCATAGGCTAGTAGAACCGAACGGGGGGTTAGAGTCCGTATCCTTTCCTACTAGCTAGCTGGCATCGGAACCTTCTTCCAAGCACCTACTATCTTACCGGTAGCACCATAAATGAATTACCGGTACATGCACAACTACCATTACATTAACTTTCCTACTGCTGCAGCTGAGCCAATATATGTACATTTTTGTCAAACACCCTACCAGTAGCTAGGGCAAAGCGTCTTGACAGACCTTGCCAGTGTAGCCACCGGGACAAAGACAGTCGCCGGAGGCCTGGCAAATACCGTTGTTCAAACACCCTGCATCGGAGCAGGGAGTATTGGTGGGGTCGATGTTCTCGTTGGGTTTTCCATTCCCTGTCAAGAATGTGTTGAAGAAACAACTGTATTCTTGTTCGAAACAGTTTCGGGCGTGCTGACATTGCTTGCCCCAAAACAAAGACGTACAGTCGCAACTCCCATCAAAGGTGCAGGTGCCACCATTCAAGCAGCCCATGTTGGAACACGTCCCCAGCTTCAAGCAGTCCTTTCCGTCTTCTTCAGCTTCAAAACAATCATCAATCGGCCAGACCTTGTGGCAAAGCTTTCCGTAGACCTCCTTGTCCAGCATCTCCGGACACTCACATTGTCCATCTACTCGGCAGGTGCTGTTGTCAGCTCGAAGGTGACACGCGATACTCGTGCAAGTTCCTAGGGCAAAGCAGTCTTTCCCATCTGCCTCCGCTTCGAAGCAGTCGGACACAATTTCGCATTCAGCACCGGACAATCCTAAAGGACACTCACAGATTCCCTTAGATGTGCATTGACCTCCATTCGCCACGCAGGCAGAGAGGATGCAGCTTGTGTTACCGGATGCTGCACCGTGGTTCTCGCCAATGAGGGAGTTGACATGAGTGTCGCTTCGACCATGAGCAATCTGGCAAAGTTTGCCTGAATACCAGACATTGTTGTCAACTGGATTCATGGTTGGTTGCAGCGTGTCATCGTCATAGAATGGGTCTTCGTCTTCTTCGTCGATTTGATTTCCAGAACTTCCCGGACAAGAACATGTGCCGTCTCTTTGACAAATGCCCTCATTGGCACATCCAAGATTCGTGCAACGCCCAGTGTCAAAGCAGTCCGTGGAAACGCCACCAATTTCAAAGTTGAAGCAATCCGGTAACACTTGGCAGAAGCGACCAAAGGCAAGCGAGGGGCATTTCTCACAGCTCCCATCAGCACTGCAGACTCCACCGTTGCAAAAGACGTTGGAACAAGTTCCTTTCTCGACACAGTCCTTGCCATCTGCTTCGTAGTCGTAACAATTCACTTCTTCTTGACAGAGCTTTCCGCGGTATCGGCCCGTGTCTTCCGATGTTGCCCAGGCGGAACCATCACAATCGCATCTTCCGTCCAACTTGCAAGAGCCACCATTGTCGCATCCAACATCGGTACACGTCCCTTTTTCGAAGCATGCCATTCCATCATCTTCAAACTCCCAACAGTTCGGTACGTACTGGCAAACATCGCCACGAACTGGAAACGCTCTTTGGTTGCGCTTCCACATGGGGCAGTTGCACTGACCGCTTGTCCCACACGTTCCATCGTTGAAGCAGAGCCCTACAAAGCTCTCTCCCATGTGACAACCAAGAGAAGTCGACTCGCAAAGGAAACCCTCGTACCCGGGTCTACAAACGCACTGACCTCCGGGGGCGCTCGAAGCACTGAACGCATCTTTTTCTTGATGGCAAAATCCTCCCGAGTGGCATGGATTAGATTCTTGGTTGCAAACAGCACAAAGAAGGACCGTCTCGATTGGTTGGCCGACGGCAAGATAGCTTCCGACGGCAAGATTCCTACGGTCCTGTTGTACATAATACCATTGCAAGCCTGCAGGAGTTGCCAGGTTGATGTCGCGCACACTCAGAGAGGCGGGTTCACTCAGGAAAATTGGCACAATCTCTGGTTGTGCTAATTTGGAATCATCGTTGCTGCTGCTGGATGATATCCAATGCTCCGCAAACTGCGTCCACAACGACAGCAACCGTTCCATGTGCCGCTCAGGATGGGAACGCCATGTAAAGACGACGTCTTTTCTCAGCTGGACAATCACCCACCGACGACCCACAAACATTACCAGAACCATTTGGTCGTCGAAATGCGACCAGTATACAGGGCGTTGAAAGTGAGGCTCCTTGAGCATGTTACCATTGGCACCCACTACAATCTCCAACAGGGAATGTGGATCGACTCCTCCGGTAATGGCGGATGCCTCATTGTCAAAGTAATCCGGTAGAGAGCCTTTGGCATCCGCACTGGACGGTTTCCAAATCACATCGGGAAAGGGGAGGAAACGTCGGTCCCATGTCAGGTTGGCACACGGAGCCGACGGCACTTGCATGGTTCTGTTGCCACCATCCTGCAATGCGTTCACGGCAGTAGTATCGTTGATACAGTGGTAGCCAAAACTAGAAGACGACGTTGCTCTTCCTTGACCATGAGCACAGTCCGCACACGCCACCGAAAAGTCATCCAAGGGAGCCTCCTCCCCTCCCCGCGACAAAACATGCCACGAAACAGATTCGGTCAAGGAAAGGAGATCGTATGCCTGTGTGGGACTGGACCGGAGCAAATAGTCTTGGCAGGGTTCCGCCGTGGCCCGCGACAGCGTCCAAGCACGCAATGGACGGCAGTAGGCAATCTTGAACGGAGTCCTCATCGTTTGCTTGCTTCTTCGTGGATCTTGGACAACAAAATCGTAAATGTGACGACCGTGATGACGAATATATTGTCCCTGTCGTTGAGTGTAGATCCCGCTGAGGAAACTGGCATAATAGTACTGCTCCATGGCATCCTCCGATGTCGGGATGACATCGCCAAACTGCACGGCAATGGCTTGACATTGCAACTCGACGGGATTTCCCAAAACTTGTTCGTAGACAATGACCGCATACGCCAAGAGAATGGAACTGGTAATGCAAAAGTAGAGCAAGATGCGCAGCAATGGATGCTCGTTGGCTTGAATGGGTGGGAACGATGCCACCTGGTAGGACGAGCTCTTGCTGCGAAGATGACTTCGACTCGTAGTGGTGGGACTTGCCTCCTCTTGTTGACGACGATGATACCGACGCTGGTACTGCGCCATGCGTTTCTCGCTGGTAGTACGAGGACTGGTCGTCATTGTGGTGGCACTGGGAGTCGTCTGGTTGTTGACCAGAGAGTTGTTATTGTGGTTGATCAGAGAGTTTTGGAGCAGAGAATTGTTTTCTCCCGCAGTGGCAGCGGCAGTACTATGATTGTGTTGGTGATGATGATGATGACTCCCATCGGTGTCCTCCGTGGGCGGTGTCAAAATGGGATGAATCTCCGTAGTGGGCGTGGTTCCCGCCAGGACGATTGGTTTCAACGACAAGAATGCATATCCCATGCGGCTCCAGACCAAGAACGCCAAGACATCCAATCGCAGGACAAACTCGACGGCTCCCATGTTCCACAACAATTCTTGTACACTGTCCGTGGCTTGCAAGAGCACCAGTACGGCAGCGACCATGTAGGCGATTTGCTGGAGCCATTCCAAGAGGGTTCCCACAAACCATCGGGTCTTGGACACGACGACATGACTGGTCGCGTCGTGAATGACAGCGGTATTGGAAAAGAAACTGCGACTCAAATTGGTGTACCGTCCTTGTTGTTGATTGCGACTAGTGCGTCTCGTCAAGCGACAACACCCCAAGACGAGTTGCAAGGTGGTATGCACCAATGCCGTCTGATGGACCAGGAGGACCCATCCAAAGAGAAGCCCCAATTGCGCAATGCGGACTGTTACCGGAACATCTTCGTTCATGGGAATTCCAAAAAACGCTTGCCACTCGTCCACGGGCGAATGCGTCGTGTCGAGCAATTCCCAAATCATCATGCTATAGAGCAACAATGGCACTAGCAACACCAGCAAGGCCCCAAAGAGAATGCTACTCGTGGCATCGGCCGTCAAAAAGAGCGTTTGAAAGGAACTTGCGGCGGAAGATGGACCACGCGACGACGACGAATCCGAAAAGGACGCAGACTGGGGAATGACACTGGAAACTTGACTGGTATCGGCTCTTCGAGCAGCAGCGTAGTCGACAAAGGAAGGTGCCGTGGCTTCTTCTTCTTCCAACTGCGAGAGTTGTTTGGTCTTGTTGCGGGCATGACGTTTTCGTTGCTGATTCCGCTTAATGAGGGCATCCGTGTCTCTTACCACGTCGTCATCATCATCGTCGTCATCATCTTGTCCTTCCAATCCAACCACGGTAATGACGAGATTAGTGAGCGCATCTTCTTCTTCGTCGGGATCGTAATAGTCTCCCGTGGGCATCCTGGCGAGACTGCCGGAATTGGATAGAAACTTGTAGGACGGTGGATCCGGTGGAGAACTCTTGGAGCGTCGAATGACTTGGTACTGTTCTTCCAAGGGCGTAATGTTGTGTTTCTTATTGGACTTCTTTTTCTGCTTCTTGGTAGTTGTGGTGGGATAGAGAATGGGTCGGGTGGCCTCGTCGTCATCATCGTCCTGGCTTGATCGTTGTGGACTACTCGTACCACTACTATTATAGTTATGATGATGATGATGAGGATTGCTGTTGTTGACGGTAGGAAGAGACTGATTGAGCGAGTTGTCAGGAGACTTGATGGGGCTGGGTTCGTCTTCCAAATCTTCTTCTTCTTGGGGTACTTGACGGGGAGTATTACTATTGTGAATGGAGTTGGCGAGTACCGATCCGGACGTATCCAAAATGGTTCCTCCGTTGCGCGGCAACGATTGGAGCGAGGATCCGGCCGCGGAATGATCGTCCATCATACTGCTGCCCTTGATGGTGGAGGGTTGTTGTTGTTGCGGAGAGAACCATGCCGGAGACGACGCCGATGCTCCCAAAACTTGGGACGGGCGGGGTGGTTTTCCGACACTACTACTAGCATTGGGAGTCTGTTGCGCTTGTGCATTCTGTTGCTGTTGTCGAAAGATGAGTTTGGCGTGTTGCTGTTCTTTGAGAATCTGTTGTTCGAGCAATGCCGTGACGGCGCGTTGTTTCCAATTGCGCTTTTGGCGGTGTGCCGAGATTTTGCTGCTGGCTTCGGATCTTAAATCTTCCGTCCCCGTAGTGGCGGCCGTGTAATCATCTTCTGGATCTTCAAGGACTTCATCTTGCCACAAGTCTTCAAAGGTGTCGTCATTGTTGATATTATGGTTGTTGTAGTTGTTATTATTGCTGTTCGTATTGTTGTCCGTATTGGTGGTGACGGTATTGAGCGTGCCATTCAATAAATAATGATGATTTGGATTATTGGCGCATTCCATGTAGTAGTCGTACGACGGTTCTTCGGCGGTCGTAGTCACATTGGGATTTCCAGCTGCGGTCGTAGTGGAAGTGGGAGTTGCGACAATGGTGGAATTGGGAGTCAGTTGATGCTGCAAGTACAATTGCTGCAGACGAGTTGCTACTGGAGTCGACGAACTATGCATAGTCAAGGCGGAAGGACTGGTACTACTACTGGCTGTCGTGGCGGTGACTTGGGCTTGGACGTTCTGATTGTTGGAACCGCTGTGACTGTTGATCACTGTACAGTGCTCTTGGTATTGACGAGATCCATCGTTCTGGCTGCTCATGGCGTCGTGCTTGAAGGGATTACTAGTACTAGTACTACTCTTTGTAGTAGCAGCGGAAGGAGTTCCAGTAGAAGACATCATCTTGCTTTGCTCTGCTTTGCTCCACACCTTTCAACTAACTAACTCAATTGCAGCCCAATGCAAAATGCTCTCTCTTCAGAAACCGCAGCTCCGCGCCATTGCCACCGGGCTTCTCAAAAGCAGAAATGATCGGATGGACGTCTAAGTAACTTATTTGAATAGTCACATTACGGTTAGGATCTCCGTTGTGAAGCTTAAGTACGTATCCGCGCCAAATCTACACGTGAGGTGGTAAATCTACGAGATCACACAATGGCACACTTTTCATCGTCATTGCTTCTCGTTCTCTCATCGTGCTGTTGGACCGCTAGCTGGCTTTTTCTTGGATGATGAGACAATGAAGAGCTTGTGGTGGTGGTGGTGGTGGTGGTCATCTATTAATACCAGTAGAAGTCGTCGACTTGTTCTGTTGCTCTTCTGTCTGGGTCTGTCTGCTAGTCTCTTTCAATTGGATCTTCTCGCAGACAACCATGGTGATTGGTACAATGGTCTCCTTCCGCAGCCCTCGGATGACATGTCAGACCAAGACCAACCGGAACAGAGGAGACGAATGGAAGAAGAAGAAGAAGAAGATCTGTCTATTGAAGAGTGCACTCGCATCACGGAAGTGAACTTGGATTCGGAACCTCTTCATTTTGGCAATCCCCTGTTTCTCCTGGTGAATGATCATGTGATTTATGTAGTACTGGAACCACTCAAGGAATGCAACATTTTCCACGCTCTGTGGAGTTATGTGACTCCCTTTTACAATCTCATGACAACTCTGCAGAAAAAGAATACCGTGGCCATCCAAGTACATGTCTTATTGGAAGAGTGCCATGCGTGGCTGGAACAGTTGCTACTCGCCTTTCCTGTCGGTCCCTACTATACCATTTCCATTCAAACCACACGTACCAACGATTGGCAAGCGTTCTTCGCACAGCAACGTCAAAAAAATACCGAACGACATCATCTGAATGATCCTGAGTATTACTACTACAGCGACACTGAATGGTTCCAAGAAGGTCAGGACACATTCCCCACTGACCGATCCAATTGCTTCTTGCTAGAATCCAAATGGATGTCCTTTGGAGAAGGAGTCCATCACGAACGGTGGAACCAGCCGTCATCCAACCATGGTCAGTATTTACAACCCTGGCTCGTCGACTCGATGCGGAATCGATACCTACCTGTTGCTCGCAAACGCAAAAGACGACCCCTGGCATTGTTGGTGGAACGCAGCTGCACGTCGTTTGCACGACAACTCGTGGACATGACAACCGGAATGCCTCTCTTTTCTGATTCCGTCTTTCTCCAAAACGTTCGCAATTTGGGATACGACACGCAAGTATTGACCGTCTGTGGACGCAACGACACCCTCCAGCAATACCAAGACTTTGCACAGGCCGACGTCGTCGTGTCGGTGCACGGAGCACAACTCGCCAACCTAATCTTTCTGCCCACTACGACTAGTAATGATGGCAACAATAACACGATCCCGTCCTTTTTCTTTCCACCGGCACTGGTGGAAATCTCCTTTCGCTTTGCTTGGTGTCGTCCAACACGACGAAACACCACGTCTGCTGTCGAGCACAATGGCACGCACGAGGCCCTATTACAGCAGTGGCGACAACCACACTGCACCAACCACGAGAGTCGATACTACCCAAAGGCCGATTACTTTGCCATTGCTACTGCCATGGGGATACGGTACACCGAAGTCCTTCATCATGCCGTCATTCCATATCCACGTGCCACGCGCAAAGAACAACAAAATCCCATTCAAGTGGCGGGCGTCATTGTGGACTCAACTCTGATCCTGCAAGAACTCAAACGCCTTCACGAGGATCCCACCTACGAGCATGCCACGTACAATGGAAAGGAAGGAGTGCATCGGTACAAGATTGGGGTGCGGGCCAGCCAGCCAGAGGCAACCACCACAATCGGCAGGTGATGGATGGATTCATTCGAAGGTTCAGAGGTTTCTACTCTAGCTAGCTAGTATCGGTAGTACCGTACCGCAGAGAGACACAGACCATGCAGGCACACTTCAATACTCGCAGCGCTCTTGGTTTGCAGGGCATCCCGTGACACACACACTACCCAAGTAGTATCAATGGGTTAACGAACTTGGCGAGGCACACCACATATACGTGCTACGAGACGGGAATGGAAATCAAACAAATGGATTCTAAAACTAACGCTGGTCATGGGCACGTCCTTGAACAAAAGGGCAAGGGCCGTTTGAGTAGTGATCCTCTCCTATTCCAAAGAAACCAAATCATCACCATGGTAACACCAACCTTTGGTACATGCTTTTCGTCTACTCTGCACATGAGCATGCATAGAAGACGAACTTGCCACTGCCCGTTGAAAACGTCATGGCCTGTAGTTTCATAGCTACGGTAGCTACTTTAGGAACGTCCTTTCCTTCTTTCCTGCTGAAGCCAGTTGCATTAGAATCAAAACTAAACTTTACCACATGTACCTTTAGAAATCCCAGATTTGTCTTCCTTGGGACCAACACAAGGTCCGAAGGGCTTGAACTTGCCGGATCTACAGAGAGAGCACTCTCCAACGCAGCTGGCATTCACAGCACAGGATTGCTCTTAGAATGCTCCAGCTTCGGCAAGCTCCAAATCTTCAGCAGCCATGACATCATAGACACATTGGTCCTTCAAGTCTCCCCAATGCTCACATGCCTCCTCAGCAGCTTCCATGGAAATGGTGGATTCGCCAAGGCGGCGGCGTCCATCTCTTTCAGGACCAGGCATACTGCATTGCACTGGGTGCTGGGGGAATCTGGCTGTTTGGAAGAGCTTGGGTTCTGTTTCAAGGACTTGCCATTCATTGCCAAAGGCATCTGGATCAGTCATGATGGTTCCATTGCGGGACAGCAACTTGCCAGTTCCAAACTCTCCCAAGAGTCCTTGGCTTCCACGGTACTCTTCAAAGCTGGCACCAACTGTCTTGACACTGACAAGGTCCTTGAAGGATTGAATGACAATCTGCTTTCCCTCTCCAAGCTCAATGGTGAAAACATCTTGCTTGGAGTTGATCTTCTTGTGGGTAACAGTGTAACTGTCAAGTTTCTCAGAGTCCAGATCAGCATTGGAGATGCCATCCAACATGTAGCTACCATATTCACCAACCTCTAGAACACTGTCTCCGATTTGAACAGCAGCAGACTCAATGTAAGAGTACTGGTACCGGGCCTTGGTTCGAATGTGGATGGCCAATCCAGTTCCATGTCCAAACTTGGGGCTGTCAACAAAGACCAAGTCACACTCTCCATGGAAATCAAACCACTTGCCAGCCCAGGACTTGAAGTGAGGGTCGCCAGTGCCAGCACCATCCGTGATTGTTTCACAGGCTGTGAGGGTAATAGACCAAGAATTAAGTGTTCCTGTGTCGCCAACAGCATCATCATTGATGTCTAATGTCCAGTAACCAATGGATTGGTGGCCATTGAAAGTAGAAAGAGCCTCCTCCGGCTGAACCTCTAGTCCATCTTGATTACAAAGGTTATTGGTGCTACTAGCTCCATTCAGACTTTCGGTAGCGGAATCATCGAAAGTAACAACAAGGTCATCACTGGACCCGCAATCATCGTATTGAAGCCGAATCACATCAACAGGGTCAGTTGTTGGGTCTGGTCCATCCATGGTGAGATCAAGCTCCAAGTCAGCAGTCCAAGTGTGGGTGATGTCCACTGAAATGTCGACGTCACAGATTTCAAAGCTGGCATCTACAAAGATGCTGTCACTAACCCTACCCCTATCTTGTCCAGCTCCTGGGATCGCCAAGTTAGGAGAAGAATTGTATGTAACAGTTTGAGCCTTGGCAGAAGACAAGCTGCCAAGGAGGGACAGGGCAATGAAAGTGATCATCATGTTGGCAGTGTGGTTTGGGGGGAATTGAAATTGTGGGTTTTGGTTTCAATTTTATGAGATAGGTTGTGTGGGTTTGCTTCGATGGAGACTCCCTCTAGCTAGCTAGTAGCTACTGGTAGTAGAGTACTAGACCTACCAGGTAGCTATTTTTTAATAGCTCGTAGGGTACTCAAGTTTACAATGTATTAATTAATAACGGTATGCGGAGAATCCGATCGGAAGACTTAATTAAGGAACCTGGACTGGCTTCCTGACGGACCCATTACAAAGTCAGTGTGCAGGGACCCAAAGAAGCAAAAAAGTAAGTGTGTTCAGCTCATCACTGGTACCGTACTGTACTAGTAGTATCGTACTCTTTACTGGCCCAGAAAAAGATCGAGGTCAAATCGTCAGCTTAGACGGAAGACGGACAGATTGCATTCTGTTATAAATATTGAACCTCGATCCACTGTGACTGACTCATGGGACGTGTTTGCTGAACCTGCCGCTAAACTTCGTCTTGACTTCCACCACTCTTCCACCCCAGGTAAGTCAAGACCAAGAGGGGTCAAGTAAAACGGTAACGCACAATGATTAATAGTAGTTTTAAAAATATCTAAAGGTACTATTGCGCCGAAGGCTGATTGCTTTTGTTTCACTCCTTCAAGACAGCATGTGGTTGCCCGCCCCTCAGGCTTCAGCCACCCCAAGCTGTTCTCTTCCCTCTCATCCGGTCAAACAATTTGGGGGCATTCACAATGAGTGAGGAAATTGGGGGGATTGAGTCACAAAGTGGCGAAGAAGCCTTTGGGAAGTAATCCGTTCTCGAGTACCGTACTGCCACGATTTGCAGGGGGCTGTGGTGAACGCGACCAAACAGGATGGCCCAGAGCCCTGATGAGTGTGCAAGTTGTTTTCGCATCGGACGACAAAGAAAGGCTTTGTGATGCAGCTTCTTGCCCTGTACGGCCGCCCAAGCATCAAAGGCGAGCCTTGGCGAGCCACATACGGGCGAAGAAGTGGAAAATCAAAGAATGGCTAGATAGCTATGATAGTCCAAGCAACCATGGTTGCATGGTTCTGCCTTCTCCTACTTCACATTGATGGCTTGATTGTCCAGGAAGGTTTGAGAGCTAGCCTACATGTACGTACCACAACAACCAATCAAACTGGAATACATGTAGAATGAGGATCTACTAGGCTTCGTTAACGTTGCCAGGCTAACGACAAGAAAATACTTCTATTTAACGAGATGCTAGAGCTAGGATTCATCTACATGATGCGTTTTTACTCTAACTTCAGCTATCGGTGGGTACACGACAGCTGTATTTGCTTGAGAGCCCAAGGTCGAGTTTGACGCGCAAGTAAAGCAGCAAAGTTGAATGAAGACAGTGTAGTCCACGTGCCATGGCGTTGTCATTGGCTTTCCCTGTCTCCATTGAAGTTGTTGCAAAAGAAGGCCTTGTTTCTCTGTGAGCTCCAGATGCCAGAGCGCCAACAAGACACAAAGATTGTTGCATGTCGCGAACAGTGTCCTCATTATTACAAAGAGAACGTTGAACCCATTCCGGAATCGTGACATTTGACAACGTCTTCTCTGTTGATTTTCTTCCACTTCATTAGTGCCCCACAAGACCACGCCCGATTATATAGAGAGGGGGCTGCCAGTGGATTGAGTCGATTGTAGGAAGGATCCGTGGAATGATGATGGAAGGGAGCGGCCGGTCGAGAAACAGACAACTTTTGTTGTTTGCTGTGCCGCGTCTTGAACCCCAGTTGCGACGCAACGCCGCTATTCGAACGCGACGACCGCCATCCATGTTGTGTGCGAGTAGTAATCATCTTTCCTTTGCGTTGTATTGATCCAGCTAGGCAATCGACTCTGGGTTGAACACTTCTGGACGAAATGGCGGCTCAGGGCATTCCACTGAATTTATCATTCCCAACGCTCAGAATAGTGGCAGTGCGCACCTCCTGAAGTCAAGAGCAAGTCAAACAAGCAAGAAAGAAGACGGTACTGTATGTAATACTCCGTAACCGATACCAGCATTCGTGGGGCCCGCTACTGTCCACCGTCGTACCCAGAGGATGGTGGTGGTGCTCCTTCAGTTTATGCTAAGGCAGCCAGACTTCGTAACCCAAGGCACGAAGATGAGAGATTGCAGTGACTGTTTTGCCCCGTTTCCCTTTTCAGGGCAGTTCTAGCTAGGTTAGCTTGCTACGAAAGTAATAGAATCAGGCGATTGGATCATTCACCGGAATGGTTGATTGCGCCGAAGGCTTCAAATACATTAGGTCTACAAGTAGGTCCTCCACCGTAAACATGCAGTTGTTTTGCTATCATTTAGTGACGATCAGCGACAGACACTATAGACTACTAGTCATTGTTGTGCAAGGATGCTATTCCAACGACTTCATCAGTGTTCCGTCTGAATTCCTTCTTTCATCTAAACCGACCAATCCATTCCTTCTCTTGTGTCCATCCATATACTCAGGGATCAATTCCATGCCTTGCCCAAAATGACAGATGCACCACCATCTAAGCCCAGCATCATCCCTGTCAAACCTCCAATCAACGCAATCCAAAACTTACACTGAACCGAATCCTCCTACTCCAACACTGCTTCAAGCAAATCTTGGGAGCTCTTCCACGTCATCCTGGTCCTTCAAGTAGTTGGCATGGATTGCAACTGTGTTCAGTGTTGTTTGGATCCTGTTGTGCATACCGTGAGCATGCAGAATTTGCTTTCTTTTCCTTTCTGAGCGCCTTTTGTTCCTTGACCATGCAAGATCGGTGATCCACGATTTCCACGGTGAATCTGGCTTCTTGGGTTCGGCTTCTGGATTGATTTTGGCTGCACTCACTTGAAAAGACAGCGTAGATGAGGGCGTTAAGTTTGAAGACTGATGTCACATTGCACATTGCACTCGCTCGACGTGGAAGAGGAAGCTCCACGGCAGGCGTGGATCTCCCCACGAAAAACGATTGCTGTTTTCAGATCGAAACTCCCACCACATTGGGACGATACCGACGTACCGGTCCCGTACTACCAGGTACCGGTATCATACCTTGTACCAATACTCTAGCTGGACTTGACGAGCACTCCTTCTGGATGAGCGTGGTGAAGGATGCTGGAGCTATCGTGGAGGAGCGACCGATGCTCAAAGAGAACGAGAGGGACGTCCACATGCCACTCACAATGCACTTTTGGCCGGGCTGCTGGGCTTGTTGGAACCACACGTTCTCTCGTCTGCCCGATTCTGATTCATTCGAATCTTTTACTCGAACGATGTCTTCTCCTGCGGCTGTCTTCTGGGACTACGAGAACGTGCCTCTTCTCGCATCAGTTCCTGCCTCCGATGCTAGCAAGGCGCTCATCGACGCACTATCTCCGCACGGAATCAGAATTGTGGATCGAAAGGTCTACTATGACACCGAAGGCGACCTCTCGTTGAATGCAGGTGACCTATGCAAGAATGGCTTTACTTTGGTCAATACACCACGCCGTGGACAAAAGGAGTCCGTCGACAAAAAGCTGACCGTCGACATGCTTTGTTTTGCATGGGACAGATTGAGTGAAACGGATGTCAAACCATCTGTCGTCCTTATCACGGGCGACGGAGACTATGTCTATGCATTGAACAAGCTAAAGGATCGGAGAGTCAAAGTGTTCATCATTCATGGCAAGGAATGTAGACTGTCGGCCGACCTCCAGTCCATTGCAGATGTTCATATGAGTCTGTTTGATGACATTCTCGACAAAAATCGGCAACTAGCAGCAGAGGAAAATGCTCGCCGTTTGCGCAAGATATTATTGCAGGAAGTCTCCAAGGAAGATACAAAGGCAGAGGACGGATGGGTCTTGGCAAGCCAAGTCGCCGAGATTTTTCATCGGAAAACTGGCTCCGCACATAGCGGTACCGGTACCAGGGCAAAGCTTGTCTACAAGGAGGCACGCGAGTTTGCTATGGAAATGGGATGGCTGGAGAAAGGGCGATGCTTCCTTGGTAATGGGAAGGGGGAGATCATAGCCACCAACAACGCTGGACCTAGATTCTCTAAAGAAGAATTCCTTCGTGTCAAGAGTCTCAGTGGCATCGGGTCGGATAAGGCTACCAACCAAGCAGCACCTACATCTACTGGTACGATTGGTCCTCCTGCAGGTCCCTCTACGAGAATCTTTATCAAAAACATCCCCCGAGGCACAAGTGAGCTCGACCTCGTCGAGTTCATCGAGAAGCAGCTCGATTCCACCGTGATTCATGCCTACCGAAAGCCTTGGTACGAAGCTCCCTATACATTTGCTCATGTGGCTCTTGAGACAGAGCGAGACGCGGAGCGATTGATTATTTTGGCCACTGAATCAAAGCTGATCCTTGGTGGCCGCCATCTCAAAGTCGATTACGACCGATTCTGTAAGGTTCATCCCAAGCAGTCCCCATCGTATGTTCGTGGCGACATTGAAAAGGACTTGGTTGAAGGAGATAGTACGCTAGCATTCTGCAAGATTCTAAAATTATCGACAGTCGAAGGTTGGGCAAAAGCCAGTGTCGTCAGCAGCAGATTCCAACGGTATTTGATTCTGGGAGCAGCGGATGATTTCCCTGCACGCAGTCGTGACGACGCCTTGCGACAGGGCTTGATCGAGTGCGGAAGAAGCGTTCATCATCAACAGCGCCTTGCCGGTTTTGCCCATGTTTCGCAAAGCCAACTTGTGCCAACTGAGAATCAAGAGCATATTTGCTTACGTCTGACTCCAAAGGGTACCCAGCTGTTGATGACGCGACAAGCCCCAGTGCTACTCGACAACACCCTTCCGAGCCTGCAGAAGTGCAAGACGCAGCACCTATACATCAAAAGCCTTCCAGTGAGCACGACTGTTCGTGAGCTCGTGCATTTCTTGAAAACGGAGCACTCGTTAACCATCAAGAAGGCTTGCATTGACCCTACGAAGCCAGGATATACATATTGCACTGCGCATGTAGAGTTTGCGACAAGTCGTGACTCGGACAAGGTGCTGGAGATGTGCACTGGCAACCGACTTCGTTTGGAGAACAGACCCCTGGCGGCCAGCGTTGACAAATTTATCCCCGATTGGGATGCCTACTGTCCAACACGAATCTATACTGCCGAGCACCCTAGCTCGGTCACTCTTTATCATGAAGCGTCCTTGCTACCTCTATCAACTTTGTCATCCAAGAGTTACAAGGCAGACAGCAACAATCAGAACAATCAAGCGGGCAACTTACCAGATCTCACAGCTAGACAAAGCTCTGAGGAACGTCGTGGCGGTAATGCGTCCCCATTTTCGGTTACACAGGATCTCTTGTGGTCGTAACTTCCAGAGTGTTGTTGTGCTCTTCCTGTTGGAAGCTATAGCGGTACGGTCCAAAACCAAAAACCCTGTTTTGAGGACAACGAGAGCCATGCCAGTCCCCATCTCTCTATTTTTGTCTTCAACTTTGCTAGTTTGGCTTACTATTTTAATCAATTATCCCTCTATTAGAGTTTCCATTCCATTTCTAAGCCATTAGGATCATATCCACCGCTAGCTAGCAAGAAAGAGAAGTTACAGCCACCGTACGACGGTTCGGTCGCAGCTCTCTTCAGACCTGACCAAAAGAGCCAAAATGTGAGCTTGGTTTTGGAGGACATTGACTTCAGAAACCTGCAGTCACAAGGAACACTTCAACTTCAAGGAGGCAGAAATCGTTTTTCTGGAGGAGAAAGTGATCCATGGACCGACGTATCGACGGCAACCCATAAAGCTGGTACCAGGTAGGTACTGTAACACTGTACTCCGTAACTGGCGCATTCATGACGATTCGAGTCGTGGATAAATCTAGTCCTAATCAATTTTTGGGAGCGTTTTCAAAAATTCATTAGAGCTCTTTTTTGAGCTCTAATGCATTTTTGAAAACGCTCCCAAAAATTGATTAGGACTCGATTTATCCACGACTCGAATGATCAATCGTCATTCACTCCATCCTCCAGTTTGTGGCATCAACTTGGGAGAAACTTGAGTAGAAGTATGGTGATTATGTGATTATGCTCAGTTTTGCTACGAAATTGGCAAGATTATTGAAAAGTGAACGGAGAGCTGGATGCTGCATTGGAAATCTTTGGAAAAGGGCAGCTCCATTTGTGATTCAGCTTTTTAAAATAATGATGCTGCCTTTTTTCAATAACATTGCTTCTATCCTGGAAGGAAAAGGCGACTATGAAGGTGCATTGAATTTACTGTACCAATAAGTTCGTACCTGGTACCATCACTGAGTCACCACACGCGTACCAGAAAAGAGAGCGATATCAGTCCTCCTCAACCTACAGCAATGTGGGGCTTTGCTTGCTCAAAAGGGTGACTTGGATGGTGCTTGAATTGTTCAAGACACTCGAGTTATTCAAGAGAATCCGTGCCTGGCAAAGATGAAGCTACGGTTGCCAACACCTACAACATCATAGGACATGCTCTTCTGTCGAAGTTGGCTGGACCTGCGCTGCGGAAAAAGGGTGACTTGGATGGTATTCACCAGGAAGCACAAACAAGTAGGCATTGGAACTGGGAAAGAATTATCCTGAGCATCTGCCTTATGCATGCATTGGGGAGTTGCTTGTGACAAGGGTGACTTTGGTGATGCAACTAAAATGCTCCAAGAAGATTGCGCCATTGAGTAGTCTGTCTGGGGCAAGAAGAATCATCATGAAACTGCAACTACCTACAACAACCTGGGAAAAGTCCTATTTTCTAAGGGTGACACTGAGGGGGCCTTGTCACAATTTGTAAATTTGTGGCTATTATGGAAGTTGCACATGGGCTTCTTCGTCACCCCCGAACAAAGACTTGCCAAGAGAACATGGAAGCTGCCAAGTTCTTGCTACCGTACTAGGTAGCTATTAGTTAGAGAATCCGTCCAAAGTATGGTTGTAATATGACACCCCCACCTACTTCTCCTGTGTGCTTTGATCCACGGCGGAGGCGCGAAGCAACAAATGCCACAGGCAGCATGTGTACGATCCAACAATCTACGGAACGCGTTCACCGCCCAGGTTCACACAGAGACCGCCCGAAGAAAACCACTTGAACAGAGGCATGAAACAACCGAATAGAAGTAAGTGACCAAATATATATGTACATGTACTATTCGCTCCTCGAAAGCAAGAAGCTAGCCAGCTAGTTTGCATTTTATGGAGCCAAAATTTTTGCGAGAGCTCTTTCCATAGCCACTCTCTATGATAGCCCAAAATCGATCTATATTAGTAGTCATAAGATGCCGAGAGCGATGGTCATGTTGCAAGCAGATTCCGTGAACGTTTTGTTGCTTTGGTTTGCTGATGATTAGTACTGTTGTGCCTGTTGCTGTTTGGTGAGTACAAACTCCCGATACTTGGTGGTGGCTCCTTTTTGAAAACTGTCAATGGCAAAATTGACCACGGCTTGATTGATCGTATTGGCCGCGGCTTGCAATGCCGCTTGGGGCAGAATCCGCAGAGGTCCCGGAAGAATGCCACTGGTTTGAAAGGCAATGCGTCCCGAAACACCGTCGGCCATGGGTTTTAATTCGCCACTGACTTGAATGTTGATGCCCAAATCTTCCGCCGTGACGGACAATCCTGGCAACAGCTGAATATTGGGATCGAATCCTACGGATTGGAGCAAAAAGACGGGTTTATCGGGATCGTTTTGTGCATATCGCGTCTGCATTTTGACATCAACCGACGGCGCCAATTGGATAGTGACGAATTGGAGTGGCATGACTTGGAGTTGATACACCGACGGGCGCAATTCTTGTATCAAGGATTCGTCCCAAATGGAATTTGCCAGGGCTCGTTCGTCGGCGATCCATTCTTTAATGTACATTGCGTCGTTATTGTCATTGATATTATTGTGGTTCGATGCTGCCAGTTGCGTGGTCAACTGCGCCGTGGCTCCAAATTCAACTCGTCCCGAAGATCGATCCAAGGCAAAATGAGGACCTTTGCGAGATAATAGAATCTTGCGTTGACTGGGAGCGGATGCTGTTTCGGGCTGTCCGTTGGAACTGCAAAGTTGCGTTCTTGGCGTTCTCACTGATCGTGTTGGTCGGCATTGGATTTGAAAGGCGTCCACTGCAGGTAGCAGCGAGGAAATTGACAGCAACAGCAAGAGTGCTGGTAGCAGAGGAAGATGCAGAGCAGGTCTATTCTGGGATATCATTGTCATTTTATTGTCGTCCTTATCTGTCTTGTGTGCTACATTTGGTGTTTCTGTGGATCTGTCTGTTGTTGAAGAAAAATGACACTTGGCAGATCTTGGAGTGAGAAGGAACAAAAGATCTTTTTGCCTCTGACGTCAGTGCATGACTGATCCAATACTAGTGACTAAACGCAAGTATGACGTCACCAACATCACAAATCCACACAACGGCAGAGATCCGAGAAGATAGCGCCGATAGATGATCAGGGAGCTCAGAGTGCGCCAACAACCAAAGAGACAATGATGATGATCTGCCGGAGAGCTACCAGAACAAGCATCAGGCCGTTGCCACGCTGTGTTTCTCCAACCTCAGCTTCCAGATGGCCCAGACTAGTAGCCCGTTTCCTGCAGACCTGGGCAGATGTGCCACCACGAAATTTTGCAGCGCTCGAAGACAGTATCCACCGTACCGTGGGAAACGACGTGAAAGATCCAATTCTGAACCAACAGATTGGCAAACTCCAGTGGCTCGACCGTGGACTCAAGATTTCATCTTTCAAGGAAACTGAAGCAGCTTTGACCATGACACTCAAGCTGCCATCCCGGTTGCATCCCTCTTTGTTGGAATTAAAATCACAAATACAAAAAACAGCCGAATCAGAACTGGAGCAATGGATCTCACAGCACAACTACATTGCTCTGCAATCCACCAAAATACAGGTCGATGTGACCAAACAACCAAAACCGGTCCAAAAAGTCAAGGCTTCCACTATTCATTTGTCGGACGAAGAAGAAACGCCAGAAGACCAACTAGGACCCGGTCTGGCCAATGTGTCGCAATTTCTTGCCGTGTACAGCTGCAAGGTTAGTACATGTACTCAATACCAACAACTTACTTACTTGCAACCTCCTGCGATACCTTTTCCTTGAATCTCATCTCTTTAACTACATTTCTTCATTCGTTTCTGCTCGATCAGGGCGGCGTGGGGAAAAGTACCGTGGCCGTCAACCTGGCATATGAATTGGCACGCCAGGGAGGAAAGATCGGATTGTTGGATGTCGATATTTACGGTCCCAGCCTTCCTATACTTGTAAAGCCAGAGGATCCGGTGGTCCGACAATCACCACTGGGGGCAGGAATGGTATATCCTATTTCCCACAAGGGTGTCAAACTCTTGTCGTTGGGATTTGTGTCGTCCAAGGTAGATTTTGCCTTTTAAAAAATTGTCACGGCATCGAGCTGTAACTGTTCGTATCTAGAAAACTGACAATGTTTCATCCATTGTCTCTTGTTACTCTTCTCATGCTACAGAGTGGAGTCCCTGGCAGTGGGCCCGAAAGTGGCAGTGCCATTATGCGAGGACCCATGGTGGGTCGAGTGGTCACTCAATTGTGAGTTGGCGCGGGACGTGTTCGTTTGTTTTGTGCTGGATTAATATCCATTTCTCACTCCACTACTCTTCCCGTTAGACTCAAAGGAACGGATTGGGGTGACTTGGATGTCTTGGTCTTGGACTTGCCACCGGGTACGGGAGACGTGCAACTCACGGTGTGTCAAGACATTCAGTTGGATGGAGCCGTCGCCGTCACGACGCCGTCCAAGCTGGCTACCGAAGATACTCGCAAGGGAATTCACATGTTTTCGTCTCTGGGAGTATCCACCATGGCACTGGTGGAGAACATGTCCTACTTTGTGGTACGTCAACAAAAGAATGTGATTCTCGTGTTCGTTCGGATGGTCTGGATAATGTTCTCTCATGTCTGCATACAAAACCGCCACAGTGCGACGGTGGCGGGAAACACTATCCCTTTGGCAAAGGACAGCAAGAAGCGTTGTTGCAAGACAAATCCATCAATCCAGCCAATATCGTGTCGTTGCCAATTTCGTCCTTGGCCAATGACGCTACAGAACAGGGAGAACCGATTGCCCTGACGCGGCCGGAACGAGCCACAGAGGAACTCGATGCATTGCAAAAACTGGCCACGATCATCTCCAAAGAGCTCTTGCTCGCGCAATTTACACAACCCGATAGCTTTGTGCGGCTCGATGGTGTCGATTTCCCCCTGGATACCATGGCGTGTTCCATTGGAAAGGATGGGGCCGAGTTTGTGGTTCGCTTGTACTCGGATGCCGGAGCCACCAAGATTCAACTTCCAGCGTTTCAACTTCGAGCCCGTGATCCCAAAACTGGAGAAATCATGCCGGGAGAATCTCTTGAACAACCCGAAAGGAGCCCCAAGACGCTGCCCTCGACTGTCGAGAAGAAGGGCCACTATGGTTTTACGGTCGAATGGGCTGACAGAGCCACACTGATATACTCCTTGCAAGCTGTAGCCAAGGCTGCACAAGGAGCTGCCCAGGGCAAAATATAGCGTAGTGGATCTATCTAGATGTGTAGGAGTTTTCGCAACCATCATCTTGATAGAGTCTTCCTGTGACGAAAGGCTGTGCGAGGATGGAAACAGATGGGAATGGTGAATGCGTTTTGTTGGTGCAAAAACAGGAAAGAACGTTTTCGGGGAGATCAATCCACCCTTCCTACAACCTGAACAAGCCACACATCAAATCACAACAAGAACGCAGTGCTGATCCCACTATTGCTAACTCTACAGCGTAGCTAGATCAGTTAGTCTATATTAACCCAAAGTTACGACATGTTCTGGTATTGGCCAGAGATGTGCGTATTTGGTTTGAAGATATTCCGCCTTAGCAATTGCTCCCCACTCCTTGTACAGATTGATGGCTTCTTTCATCCGGTATGCTGCATCGTCTCTATCACCCACATCGTTAAGCATGTACTCACCAAATCGTTCATTTGCCAAGGCAGCATCATTGATGAAGCCTTGACGCCCAGCTAGTACTACTGCAATGTCATACTTGTTCCGCGCGATGTGTTGCTTGCCCTGGAGCGCTGCCATCTCCGCCTCCAACAGAGCCTGGTGGTGTTTGATGTTTGGGTTGCCCTTTTCAACCCATTTGCTTACCAGGGACAACATCTTTTTTGCTTCTTTGGTGTATTGGTTCTTCTTCTTTGTCGTTGTGCGAGCCATCTGAAACAGCGACAGGCCTCGAAAGAGATTGTCGCTGTAGCATACGAAACTCCCAGGACACCCCTTCGTGACAGGGTCATTGGATAAAGCGAGCTTTGCACTCTCTTCAAAATGTCCAAACCAAAGGCACAACTGAAGTTTATGACACTCGAATAAGGCCTGCTGTGCTTTGGTGGGGAAATCTAGCACTGCTTCATCCATCGCTTCACCTGTCATAATTGTAGGTTCAGCAACGCCAGGCGTCGTCAGATTCAGAATAGTTTGAAATGCAGGGGACAGGAACTTGACGTAGAGGTCTTGCTTGAGCTGCTTCATTTGCTGTGCGAACATTCTGCACTCCCGTTCTAGTGTTTTGAGAGAACGGCCGGCAACGAAAGCACCCTGGAGATACAGATTTATGCTCTGAAATGCCGGAGAAAAGCTTCCCGTCTGCATTCCCACCTCGTATCCCTCCTTCAGAGCTCGTAGAGTGCAATGTAGTGGTCTCACATAGTGAAGATACTGAAACAGCAAGGAATGAGCAAAACTAATCATGAACAACAAAAGAACAACCACGCATCGTCACTCAGGCAATGACAGCATTCACTCACCCCGCCATGGACCACCAGATGGACTCTGGCAACCATGGTTTTGCTTTTCATCTGAGACATCATCTCCAATGCGTACTCCCCAAAAATCCTTCCTGTTTCAAAATCAGAGAGGAAACAAGCCATGATGAACCCAATGCTGGCAAAGTTGGCAGGAGCATTCTCAGACAATCCATATTCCAAGGTCCATCGATAAGCTCGCAGTATAACAGGAGTGAGCAGTGGATCTTTGAGCATGTATGCCGCTGAGATAAGTCTCTCAAGCAACTTCATGGTTTCAATCTTGACCGGGTCTTCAATGTACTGCATGGACTCAATTTCTTCCGCTTTTCGCGACTTGGCTTCCATTTTGATGCGGGCAAGACCAGCCACCGATGCCAGACCTTTCGTGAGCTTTGTCTTGGGAAAGGAGCACCGTAGCTTTTTGAGGCACAACAGGCAATGATCCATAGCTTCTTGTACACGACCTTCCAGATACAATCGATGCACCTGTAAATTGTACACTCGTGCCTTATCTTTGTCGGGAAGATCTTGTCGTGAGAGAATCTGATTGCATCTTGAATCCATAGATTCAAAGTTGCCAATGAGACCTTCGACTTCTGCTGAAGTGAGGAATAGGTCCAGTGTAGTGGAGTAGTGATTCTCCCAGCAATCTTGTTGAAGGCAGTTAATTCCCTTGGCAGCATATCTAGCTGCTGTTTCAAAGGCTGCCAATTTGGTGGCCTTGTAAGCAGCCCGAAGGTTGAGTTCTGCCAGTTCCACATGTGAAACATTGCATACTGGATTGCTGGCACTCGACGACGACGACACTGATGCTCCACCTTCATTGAGTAGATTGGCAACAATGAACACAGCACTTTCCAATTCAACCTCGTTGAGTTTAGTAACCAGAATCTCTCCTATCCGAGACTGCACTGACTTGATACTCTTGTCATCCTCGTCATCATCGGCCATCAATGCCATGGCGGCATCCAAGACTTTGCTGTGTGCCCAAATAATTTTGGTTGGGTCATCTGGCTTTCGAAAAAAGAGTCTCTTTTCAAGGGCAATGGATAGGCAGTCATCCAGTGACAATTTCTTGTTTATTGTTGTCGCTGTTGTCGTCTTCCAGTCATCCCAAACAAGCTGCAGGGTCTTTTCATAAAACGACGACCCCAAACAGGCTGCAATTTGCAGCAATTCACAAACTTGTGGTGAGCAAGTTGCCAAGGATTGTTTCATGACATGTGCCACATTATCCGTGGCTTCTGCCAATGTTTCAATTCGTGCCACATCCCAAATCCATTTCATGGTCCCCAGATCGAATGTGAGGAGCATTTTTTCCTGCAGCAGCTTGAGAAATGCCACCATAAAAAAGGCATTGCCATTGGTTTTGGAATGACAGAGTTGCGCCAGCTCAAGGACGCCACTATCATCTGTGAGCAACAAGTCTTGCAGCCATTCCTTGACATGCGTCATGTCCAGATTGGGCAAGGCGATTTCCGTCATGTGGAATCCAAATTCGCTGGACTTGTGATCCTTCCAATCTTGAATAATGGCATGTGTGAGATAGTACGACTGCGAATGATTGCTGCTGCTGTTTGGCTGATCCAGATCCGATCGATAACATCCAATCACAACTAGATCATTCTTCTTCGTTTTATTGGTGGTGGTGGTGCCAGTGTTGTCACCACTGCTGGATCTTGTTGCGGATGAGGCCGTATCATCTGCCAGCAATGCCTCCATGAGTTTCAAGGACGGTTCGTCAATCCATTCCAGATTGTCCAAGATGATTACGAGTCGCTTTGGCAAAAATGTTGTCACAATCTGAAATAGACGTTGAAATGCATAGTACAGTCGGTTCTTGTGCTCTCCTGTGGTGGGTGATGGGACACTCCCTTGTGGAGGATGAGTTCCACACATATTTTTAGTAGAGCTGATACACGTACTAGTAGCAGTGCCCATAAAGTGCTGCAAGGCTGGAAATGTAAGGAACAAAAGGGGGAGTTCATCCTGAAGTTCCGAATTGAGTTTCTCTCGCAGGAGCTGGAGCGGAAAGGCAGTACTATCGACCACCAAAGCCAATATTCCATCACAAAGCTCCTGTATGGCTCCTGCAATCCCCATGTACGGGGCTTCCTTGGAGGATGTCGAGTTCATTCCAAAGTCCCCTGCAATCACAAAAATGCCGTCTTGGTTGTTGCACGAATTATGAATGGAATGAGCCAATCCAGTCTTGCCAGTACCGGATTCTCCCGAGATGAGAATGAGTTGTTTGGCCCCTCTGTGGGATGCAGCAAATACGAGATTCTGAAGCAAGGCTCGTTCCTTGTCTCGTCCATACAATTTCTTATTATTGGAGAACTGGAGTTTGTTCAACGTCAGATGCTTCGTTTTATCCTCCACATGGTCTCGCAAAGACTGTTGGACGAGGGACGGAAATTCTTCCGGCAACTCGGCATCACAACTACTAGTACTAGTATTAGCTTCTTCACCCACCCGGAACGATGTTCCCGAGATTAGTCGAGAGCTACTCGTCTGACTGGTAAAGCCAGGCCGTGTTGAAGATCCCGTGGAAAGACGTCCGCGGGTCTTCTTGCTACCGCTACCGTTGTTGTTGGTGGTGGTGATACTTCTCGAGCTGCTGTTCATCATAGACATAGAATCCGATATAGAGAGACACGGTAGATATTACCGTTCGAAAGACGTGACACTGGACCCCAGTGAACCAATGGAGCTGGTACCGATAGTTGGTGGAGATGGATACCAGCGCACTTTCGATGAGATTCTTGTGCTCTAAAAGCTTGGTGCCACAGCTGAAACTCACGACGCACGCACGCGTCCAATCAGGAAGGCTAGGGAAGCCGGGGTTAAAGAACACGTTCGTCGCTGTATTGGAAGAGGACTCGGCATAACTATGGAGACCCTTTTTTGGATCTTAATGACTTAGTGACTTGGTTACTTAGTACTGCTGAGTAAGCAGAAGTACCAAAAGATACCGTCAACATGCCACCGGTACCGGTACACTTTGTTTGAACCCATGCGTGCTCCCGGTACTCGTACAGTGTTTAGACTTTAGAGGTCTGGTCTCTCTCTTGCTTGGTTGGTTGGTTGGTCTTGATTTTGTTCAGTAGAGCATTGTATTCTCGCCGCCAACGAGCCCAAGCCACTTTTTGGTCCAGCCTAGCTACATGTAGTAGCAGCCGTTCAGGGGCAGCCAAGATTTGACAAGCACTGGCTGAAGCACTTCGGTTTGTGATCGTTTCCTTTGCGGATGCCAAATCAATCAAGAGCTATTGCCATTGCCGCCCGTACATCGACTAGCTAGCTAGCTGGAACTGCCAAAGTCTTGGCTTTTTAAAAAAAATAAAAAGAAGACATGAATCATTGTACATTATTGATTTCAAAGCGACACGCTTTAGCAGCTTTTGCGGTACGCTTCAAGAGAAACAGAGCCATGGCAGATCATTTCCGAGGCTGACCTTTCCAGTCAGCTCGGTGTCACATGCAAAGAAGATGTAGATATACATATGTACTTGAATATCTGCTAGCTAGCTAGACCAGCTAGAGAGCAGTTGTTTTCGCCCATTCAGGAAAGCTCGTGGCGTCCTCCTTCAAGACCCACGGAATGAAGGTGAAGGCGCCCATGAGAAGAACGACGGAAGATATCATGTTGAGAACGAGTCCCCCCTTGTTCATCTCGCGCAAGGGTACGCGGCCTGTCGAGAAGACCACCATGTTGGGAGGAGTTGCAATAGGCAATGCAAAGGCACAGCTGCAGGCAAATGTGACTGGGATCATCAACGTGTATGGATTGGTCTCCAACGCAATGGCCAAAGATGCAGCAATGGGGATCATAATGTTACTTGTGGCAGTGTTGGATGTGAGCTCTGTCAGCCAAATGATGATGAACACGACAACAAACACCAATCCAGGCGTCGAAAGGGAGTCGAAGCCTTTGAGTTCTTCACCCTGGGAAGGAAAAAAAGAAGAAGAGCTCGTCAGATCAGACTGAAAAGATGACCGTGATCATGAAGTGCATCCAGTCGCAGTAGAAACTTACCAAGAATGCTGAAAGACCAGACTCAACAAACGCCTTGGCCAATGCAAAACCTCCTCCGAAAAGAAACACAATATCGTAAGGCATTGTGTTGGCCGTTTTCCAGTCCAACAACGTGGTGCGGTCGCCGGGGGTGACATCTTCGGACTCGTAGCCAGGGGCATCACCCGCCATGTTCTTCCCGTCACCAGGCCAGATGAAGAGAAGAATGGCGATTCCCATACCAACGGTCGCATCTGCTATAGCAGAAGGTTCGGGGAAAAGGTTGGACCATCCTTTAATGGTCGCGTTCTCAAACTCTAGGTCCTTGCGGAACACCCAAAGAAGCGCTTCAAGAGTGAAGAGGGTAGCCACAATCACTTGTTCACGAGTCCAAGGTCCAAGCGCCTCGTACTGGTTCTTGAAGAGGTCTCGGTCCACGGATCCCATGTCGAGGTTTCGTAAGTACATGACCGAGAGGTAGGCCCAAATGAAGAAGGACATGATCAGGGAAATGGGCAATCCAAACCCTAGCCAGGTCGCGAACGTCATCTCAGGAGCTTCAGGAAAGATCAATGCAAGTTGTTTCTGGAAGACAAGGTTTGGTGGAGTTCCTAGGAGAGATGCCATTCCTCCAACGTTGGCGGCGTAAGCAATCCCGAGAAAGATGGCTGTAGAAAAGCGGCGGCTCTCTTGGTTTCCGCGATGGTTGGGAGTCGACTCTTCCACGGATCGGCAAATGGACAACGCGTTGGGGACCATCATGAGACTCGTTGCCGTATTGGATACGAACATGGACAGAAAGAAAGTCCCGCCCATGATGCCAAGAAGCAGGAGCTGAGGTCTTACGCCACACCAGGTCAACAGCTTCAATGAGAAACGGCGGTGAAGGTTCCACCTCTGGAGTGTCAGAGCCATGAGGAAACCGGAGATGAAGAGAAAGATCGTGTTGTTCGCGTACTGAGCAGTGATGGCCTTGCTGCTGACGATGCCAAAGAGAGGGAAGAGGACAATAGGAAGGAAAGCAGTAACGACAAGAGGGATGGCCTCGGTGAGCCACAAAGTCGCCATCCAGATTGCAATAGCAAGAGTCTGGTTAACTTTGCGATCGTCGCCGAGTTCGTAAAAGCAGAAAACGACGCCCACGATCATCCCGACAATGCAAAAGAATGCCTTGACTTTGAAACACTTGTGTTGGTTGGCTTCGTACTCCTCAATGGCAAGATCACCGTCAGCTTTCAGCCCATCGCCGCGATTGAACTCGTGATTTTCAGCGGATGCCGTTTCTTCCACATCCTCCGAGCTATCCTTGTTGTACTCGTACGTATCGGTCGCCTCAATCGAATCCCTGGCGTCGGCCTCGAGATCTTTGGGCTCTTCGTTGCTGATGAAAGTTGGTTCCGCCATGGTGACTGCCTTTTTCAATGAAATATGATATCAGGTCGAGTATCCATGTGCTGGACGAATTTATGAGCCAAATAGTGAAGCGCGTTTTCCCGGATGCAGGCTTTTGGATGGTACGCCCACACTTCGGATTGTTGCTGACACGAGAAACCTGCACATACCGTACCAAACAAGGAGAGCTTTACACCTACTGTATGAGTGAGATCACTTCCCCAGAATTCCCAGCAATAGTAGTTCTGCAGTAATTCTCATTTGCGCGAGAGATCGAGGAGTCCATGCAGATCTAAACACACAAACTCGAACCAAATAGCTTTGGAAAGCAAATCTCCAGGGACGTGTATTCCTTCGGCCCACCAGTACAGATCTTGCTACGGTATCCGGAGTGGTGACTGGTATCTTTCTGGTACATGGACAGGGTTCTTGCTGGTACATGCACAGGGTGCCAAGGTGGGGTGAAGTCGTCTCCTTCCGGAGTTTGGTGATGTTTGGTGGCATCGAGAAGAATGGTGTCAACATGCCTTTGTCTACCGGTACCGTACCCATCTCCCACCTGGCTAGCCAGTACCGGTAGTTTAAGTTTCGTCGTGGGTTTGCGGTGCTTGCAGGAGTGACTTCCATTCCCACTATGACGCGCGCATGACGTGGAGAAACAGAGCACACGCAAATATCTGTAGTTGAGAAGACTTAAAGACTGCTGGACGAATGACGATTCGAGTCGTGGATAAATCAGAATCTTAATCAATTTTTGGAGCCATCCTAATCAATTTTTGGAGCGGCTCCAAAAATTGATTAGGATGGCTCCAAAAATTGATTAGGATTCTGATTTATCCACGACTCGAATCGTATTCACTCCAAGGAAGATCCCTGCCAAATTAATGCCAGAACAAGAAGATGACGAGCAAAAGCCAAGCCATGACCACACCCTAAAACGAGCCCTCAAAGGCGTCAAGGAAGACTTTGAGCCACAGCGATCTTTAGACTTGGCGGAACCACTTGGGTCTCATGAGTGCCCGACGTATTTTGCGGAGCTTTGACGAACAAGCAAGAAATGGATGTTCTATGTGTTTCCTGTAGGCTCGACTGATTCAATCATTTAGTTACGTAAAAACCAATAGTGACATGCTTGCCAAATTATTCGTCATCGAATTTTAACTTGAGAGCCACCTCCCTTCCCTGCCCAGTCCGAGACCAACTAGTAGCTACTAGACCTCGATGTCAGTCGTCATTCCAGGAGCTTCATCCGCCCGTGACAGAACCTCAGGCTCTCCTCCTCTTGATAAAGGCTCGTCCGCAAAAGTGTCTTCGTAATGATCAGCTGCCGAAGCTATAGCGCTCGTCATATTGGTTGCGCTTTGGTCCATACTCGTACTTGTCGTACTAGTATAGGCACGGCGGTTGATTTCCAACCAGTAAGTCTGCATTTTGCCCTTGCCTGGTCCAAAACGAAATCACTGAATTAGGGGTGCATCAATCTGGACTCGGCTAGCAGACATTCACAACATACCTTTTGCTTCGATCAAGTCTTCACGGGCCGTTAGCCAAGCGCCTCTTCCCAACTCACGCACCCGTTCGGCAGTAGCCTCCGAGACTTGTATCTTTCCCTTCTCCCCGTTGCTATTGATAACATGCAGTGTACGAGTCAAGACCATGTTAGCCACTCCATCAGATGCGTGGAGCACAAGACGTTGGAACGATAAGCAGAGATGATGCTCACCTTTCCATGCGAGACGCAGTGTTGACTACACAGAGGAGCAGACAAAGTGAGCCACATAGAAATAAAACTCATCTTTTTTTTTTCATCCTCGGACCATCGTCTCCTGCGAATGCTTCATACCTGTGTCGCCTAAAGCACGTACAGAAAAGACGGCAGACAGTCAGCATACGATTCCTCCGAAAACGATCTCGTATTATGTACAGCGAAAGGTACTTACCAAAAAGCTGGAACCTGCTCTTCTCTCCACGCAAAACACCGGCCTGAAGAACGGAAGAAAAACCATTCAGAGTGAGCTACGTCGGGGTCACTATCGATACGTAGAGCTCTGCCTTTGCCACAAGTAGCAGTCCTCACCGTTACCGGACCACTGTTTTCCACGAGACAGGAGCCATTCAACATGCATGTGAGATGCACCAAACTATTTTGCATGCTTCTTGCTTTCCTCACCCGAGCCGACGCACCTGTGTAGTCCAACCCTTAGTTCTAGTGCACTGGTATCCGCTCCCAGCGTTCCTTCGAGGCCTTTGGTAACCACTCTCATCCTTTCTCGTGTATCCCAGGCAAACTTTGCCATTCGCACGGCATGGTCGTTTTGCGCTTCGGGGACTCCCGTAATGGCGACTGTTGTGGTTGTCAGGCGCAAGCAGAGCAAAGCAAAGCACACGAGAATCAGACATGCATTGAGTTTCTCAATCTTCCCCATCGTTTGCAAACGTTTCCTTACCGTAACAATCTCCGATCTAAAAGAACACAGGGGCAAAGCAAGAATGCCACGATAAAAAAAGATCCAATGAGTCAATGAAACATTTGAACAGCAAGCGTTTTGGAATCATCGGCCAACTCGACATACCGTTTCCACTGTGAACCGAATCGAGGTGGACGCGCATTTTTCAAAAAGAAGTGGCGATATGTATGAATGAGCAAAAAGACACATGCAAAAAAAAGATATCAAGATTGCCCAGGACCAACCTTTGAAAACACCCCTTCTCTTGGCCAGTTCGTCGAATGCCGAGTAGATGGCTTCGAGCAATTTGAAGACTTCGACCGGCTCACGCTTGGAACTCCAAGATGTAAAGCCTGTTTTCCAATTGAGACACAAACAAGACAGACAAAAAAGACAACCAAAACATTTGTGAGTTCCCCTGCCAACCAAGGCAAAGCAACAGTTTGTCGTGTGCTAAACAGCCTCGTATAGTGCGTACCCGCAATATCAGCAAAATAGACGGTACATTCAGGATGTAGATTGGCAATGGGATCGGACTTGCTGTTGTGCGCACTCCCATTGTTGGAGAGAGCTCCTTCCGGATTGGCTTGTTGTTGCTCCATTACTTTGTATGGATTCTTGGCATTCTTTTTTTGTTCTTTGCGTTGTCGTTGTTTTTCTTCTTCATCCTCAAGCAATCGATTTTTGGCTTCAGTGGGAAACAAACTATCGACAATGGCATTGGTTTTGGTGGCATGCGTGACAACCTTGGTGTTGCGTCGATGAACAAAAGTATCGTAGATCCAAAAAGTAGCAATCATTCCGACAAATGTCAGCGACACCACCAAAGTCAACGCCCAGGGCAAGGCGGATTTGTAGTCGTTTTCAAATTCTTGTGTGGCAAAAATGTGATAACTGTAATCACATTCTCCCGGGACGGTTTCCATGACGACACTGTCGTCTTGTTCTGCCGAAGTATTGTGTTGAAAGGGCAGCACGACTTCGGTATGGGAGTAGTTGGGATCGTGAAAATCGCCTTCTCCTCGATACAAGGCAGAATTGCCAACGAGATCGTACGTCCACGCCTTGCCACAACTGTTGCGCAAGACACATGTCAATCCAGTGACACCTTCCGGGAGTAAATTGATGAGGTATCGATCCCACGGAAAGATGATTACGGCCGTTCCCACAATTCTGGAGGATGGATTGTTGAGTTGTTCAAAGACGGGTACCATAATGGCCGAATGAGGATGAAAAAAGGCGGTCGTATTGCCTCCGTTGTACGTGTAATTGACCAAGGAAGCATGGTAGTTTTCGTGATCTTGTGCATTGATGGAAAAGTCGGCGAGATTTTGGACGGGTACGGTATCCGTAAGCACAAGTCGTCGTGCCTGCATGACGGCTTTAATGGGCATGAGGAGTGCATCGGGTGCCGGATCGACATTGATAAAGGCGGGATGGAAAATGGGAGGCGATGTCATCCAGGCGGGAAAGTAGGGGCCGGGTCCATAGTCGGGTGCCAGCAAGAGTTCGCCAGGAGCATTGGGATCGCCCGTATCAGACGGAACCTTGTAGGGCAATGGCAAAATATCGCCTTCGACGAAATCACTCTGCTGAATGGCGGATCCTTCGGGTTGCAAGCGAATTCCCGTGGCGCGACTTTCGGCCAACATGGTCTGGTAGTTGGAAAGCGTGTAATTGGCCCAGTCGCCGAGTTGGTGTTCTTCGACAATGACGTGCCAATTGATGATTTCTACGCCCGTAATGCTTCGGACGGACGATCCCATGGCTTCAAAGGAGGGAATGGTGACAAATGGAAACTCTTGGTTCGACCCAATGGCTTCCACCGTGATCTGATCACTGAAGGAACGCAAAGTGATGAACATGTTCGACGCGTGGAATTCGGCAGAGTCACGAATCGTATTCACAAAGTTGGAGTACTGACAAAGCACATACATAAGATAAGGCAAAGACAAAATACAAGATCAGATGAATGGCAGACATAGCACATCATGCACTGTCCTTGAATGTGCAGGCACTCACACTATCTTGATAGTTCTGCTCTTCTCCCTTTGCCAAGAAGATATAAGCTCCCGTGGAGACCAATGCTGCCGTTCCGGTAATGATCAAGAGCACCATCATTTTCCACAACAGAATCTGTTTCGTGTCTTCCTGGGTCATCTTGTGAATGGCATTGTGCTGCTCCATGGAGGACCGACGCCCCTGCGCATCAAAGGCTTGCGAAGCCGTATACATCGAGTCGCGATCACCGCCCTCGTAGTCGTCGCAGTCCTCGCCTGACGAAGAGTCGTCCTCATCCTCTTCTCTCCTAGGCATGTTCAGGTCGTCCATCGTCTTGCTTGCTTACTTTCTACAGATCCAGTTCGGTTAGTTTGTTGGTTGTAAGGTTGTTTGGTTCTTGGTTCTTGGTTGGCAAAAGTTCTGAATAATGGTTCAAGAATCACCTCCAAAGTTTGTGGTTGTAGAAATAGCCCTGCAAAACTACAAAAGCAGTCCCTGAGTTGTTGCAAAGCCTTACACCTACTAGTACCTGTGTACCATTGCCTGTGCAGTCATTGATCCAGCAGATGGTATGACTTATGAAGAAGACCTTCGGTCAACGCTGTGACTGCTCTTTTCTCCACGTCAACGACCATAAGAACGCTCAGCAGGTCCATGGGATTTAAGGATCAAGGAGACCGAAATTCAATGGATTCTGAGTGGTAACAGTGGTACTAGTAACCGGTGGCAAAGTTCCATTGTGATGAGCGTTTATTGGTGAGACCACCAGTCTACGGACCACCAACCACCAACCATCAAGCTTTTTTAGCGGTATGCCCGTATGGTCCCCGTCCCTGCAAGCGAACAAGAGTGTATCGTTCGGGCCTTTCGAACTCAGCTAGCTGTCATCCTTCAGGTGCCGTGAGAGTGAGATAGGGTAGACAACCACCATGTAGCTCGCCGATCTCTCAGAAGAATCTGGCTGGCTAGCTAGCTAGACGTGCGATCAAGTACGGTAAGTTGTAGCCTTGCAATGCTAGTTGAGCTTTGCTTGCCCCAGTTGCCAGCCAACAGCGGCAAAATGCACTCGATTCGATTCGATTCGATTCGATTCGATTCGATTCGATTCGATTCAACTCAAACAATCAGACATTCATCGATATTGTTAGGTTTGTAAGAATTTCTTGCCACAGTCCTTGCACAGTCTTGGAGTCCTCGCTCGGGGGCAATCTTTGCTTGGAACCACGCCTCCATCGTAATGTAGGGACCCATGTTGCTGACTTCATCCAAAGCCTGGGCCAAATATACGGTACCTCGCATCATCACACCAGACCCTTTCCCAAAGCGGAGGTGCCGCCAAAAGTTAATAGTCCCAGCTTCAGTCATGAGAATGATGCCAAGATAAAGCCTGTTTAGCTGTTGAAGTTACATCTTGCCACCAAGCTTCCGACAATCCAAAATCTTCGCGTCCAACCAAACAGCCGGGTCCTCTATCCTTGACGACCTTGCAAGGCTCTATTATTCTCCCGTGGCCAAAGGTTGCCGTTGCCTTGCTTCTTTGGAAGAGATGAAGGGCATGGGTACATGTACATGTAGAAGACTGCAGTCTCTAATAACGATCCTTGCCAACATGTTTCTTCTAGGTGCTCCCATTCGACAAGCTCGTGGCTTTGTGGTACCATCGACCATGACAGCAGCAAGAACCACGTGCAGACGTCTGTGTGGCAGCCGACAAGATATGGACGAATTTATGGACAATCTGGGAGACATGCTGGAGAATCCATCTAGTACTGTCGTAGAGAAGAATAGCAGAGGAGAAGACGGCTGGATGCACGTGGATTGGAAACATCACTTTCAAGAGTGGCGTAAGTCAACATCCGCACTAATGAGTAGTTGGACGGAATCTCCCGTGGAACGAGTCCTGATCCGGAATCGATTGGTGTATTGGAAACGAGACGATCAACTGAAACTGGCAGCGTCCATTTCGGGAAACAAGGCGCGTAAAATGATTGCTCTTCAGGACATGCAAGATTTTCCAGATTGCGTCGTCAGCTACGGAGGACCACAGAGCAATGCCATGGTGGCACTGGCCGCCATTGTGCACTATCAAAGTCAACGCAATACCGATACAACCAAAAAGAAACGATTCGTGTACTATACCAAAACACTACCCAAGTTTCTACGCGACAAACCCAATGGAAACTTGTTTCGAGCCCAAGCCTTGGGAATGGAACTCATCGAATTGTCACCCCACGAATATGCCAATCTCTTTGGAGGAGAATGGGGTGGACCCACTACACCTCCACCTCAATTGGAACCAGCACCCATGCCTAACAAAAAGTCACTCTGGATTCCACAAGGAGGAGCGTGTGCGGGACTGGCACTTCAGGGGACGTGGCAATTGGCCTGGGAAATTGCCACCTTTTGGACACAAAAGGGACGAGGACGACCCCTCACCGTCTGTATCCCGGGGGGAACCTGTTCCACGGCGGCACTCGTCCACAGTGCTCTGCAGGATATTCTTCACAACGACAACAATACCGCACAAGCAATAGTGGACACCACCATGGACATTCGAGTCGTTGTCATTCCTTGTGTCGGCGACGGCACGTATGCGCAACGACAAATGATGTCCTTGTTGGAGGACAGCAACAACTCGTCGAACCGATTGCCGTCCATACTCCCTCCCTCACCAATCGAAACGACACGTGGACGCACGTACTTTCGTTTTGGAGAACCACATGCCGATATTCTAGCGACCTTCCAGGAAATGAAAGAACGATACGGAATCGTTTTGGATCTCCTCTATGGTGCCCCGTCGTGGACGATTCTATTGCGACATTTGCCATTGGCTCCAAAATACCAGGCGACGACAACAACCACCACAAAACAACCACAATCATTATTTGATCCCAAGGCACCGTTGGACGGACGAGAAATCATGTACGTGCACAGCGGAGGAGTCGAGGGAATTGTATCACAGCTCAATCGATATCTCTACAAGGGGTTGGTCGATGTGGAACAAGTACAGCTGCCGCGGCGCTAATATCGTACAGGAGCGATTCATTCAATTCCATCAGTCAATCATGATGCCTACAGTAGCTACAGTTTCGACAACCCCGACAGCACGAACGTGGCTTATTGGTCATGAATGAATGACTGTCGCCTACACAAGCAAAAGGAATGAGGAACGAGGAACCAACTTGGACCCCCGTTCGTTTTACCGAGCGTGTCGCCTCAGTTCGGAAGTAGCCCCTGCGGGTTTGTAATCGTTCTACCGATGCCAGCTATCTGGCAATAATAGCCAGGACGATGTACTCTCTCGTCAAAAACAAAAAGAACACGCCATGAATCAAAAATTGCTACAGCAACAATCACCTTTCAACACTCCACTCGTACCGGTAGCTTAGATCGAGGCGGCAAGCCTTTCCGGTTTGCTCAGTAACGCGGCAACTGGCCCACTCTCCTATTGTTATTGATGGATTTATCTTTATCTATTCCGGGCATCCATTCGCACGTGCCCATTCCAAAATTTCCACATGACCCTTTCTCTCGGCTTCATGACATGTTCTTGCATCCCATGGGCATCGATTTGCTCGAGCCCATTGGAGAACTTCCAAATGCCCACCTCGGGCAGCCCTCCAACAGATTCCCGGATGCATTGGGATTCGTCCCGTTGCAAGGAGCCAAATCAGCAGGTCTAGATGCCCGCCTTCAGCCACAAAAGCTTCGCTTTTCAATGCACTAGAACGAAAGCGATTGTTGAGAGCCCAACGAAGAATATTCTTGTGACCATTTCTAGCAGCCAATTCACAAAAAGTCAGAGAATGACGGCGGCATCCCTTCTCAATTGCCCATTCCAGAATTTCCAAATGACCACCTTCTGCAGCAAAAGCACAAGTCCATTCATTCCAAGGACAACCCTTGCTGCGTGCCCACTTGAGAACTTTTAAATGGCCACCTCTTGCAGCAGCCGAGCAAGTGGCTGTATCCCATTGAAACGATTTCTCATCATGAGCCCACCAAAGAACGATCAGATTTCCCACCTTGGCAAGTGCCTTGCACGCATGGGCCTCATTGAACGTTGTACTGGTGGGAGTAGCATTATAGTGGATTTGCACGTGTTCCGCACATCTCACATCACATAAAGCATTGCTGTAAAACGTGTCCGTGTAGCCTGCCTGTCGATTTGTAAAAGGCTCCCAGGTCACCACAATCGGTGGGCTCTCGACGGAATCACAATACCTCTTGTACAACTCTTTCATCTTCTTGTTCACAGGGGCCACCAAAGCGTAGTGCCCCATGCCCACAAAGGCGAAAATATGGTCCACCCAAATCTCCGTCGTATCCATCAAAGGAACATCTCCCTCCGGCTGGCCATTCTCGCTGGTCTGGTTGGACGAAACGACGGATAGCTTTTTAGCAATCCAGGAGAACAGAGTGGACATTATTGCCATGTTGATGGAAAGAACTGGGGCTAACGCCGGTATATTGTGGGTGCGTTGGGGGTTTGCTGCATACTACCGGTACGACCTTTGTGTCGTGGTCCTGTGGTGCGGCAAAAGACGCTCACATGTATGGAAAAAGAAATACTAAATAGATACGTTAAGGAGCGAGGGGGGCGAGACTACCGGTAGGCAAAGCAGTGGCTGCGGTGGTGGGTGGCTGTTGTGGGGGCATACAGGGAACGCAATGAGGAGCGAGCTGGGCAAAACAAGGGGGGGCAGGGAAGGGGGTGCATGGAGGAAAATGTATACCTGCCAGGAGGGGCTCCGCTGACGTCACTATTGGAGAGGCTTCATTTGTTCCTTTGGATATTACAGCCCAAGACTCGCAACTTGACTCGTACTACTCGCGTCAGCTAGTGTCTCCACGGAACCAGCGGATGGCTGGAGGCAGTTTGCGGACGCTGTCCCTGTTACTTCTGAGGCTGCTAGCATACCAACTAGGCTGATTTCAATGGCTGTTGTTATAGTATCAATGAATCTACTAACTATACCCTACAAGTAGAGACCATCACTTTTCATATAGCTGCCATGGTTGTTGTGTAGTTGTCGCTCACTTTTTGAGGGTAAAGGTGTCGAATGCAACTGCGGATGGCCATCCGTGCCTGCCAATAAACCTATAGTAAAAAGTACAAAGTGGGTGACTGAGGATGCTCGCACTCAATCGCTCTTGTTATCGTTGTATCGTTGTTATCGTTGTTATTTCGTTATCGTTGTTATCGTTGTTATCTTGTTATCGTTGTTATCGTTGTTAGTGTTATCGTGTTTCTTGTTATCGTTGTTATCGTTGTTATCCTGTATGTTTTTCGTTGTTATCGTTGTTATCGTTGTTATCGTTGTTATCGTTGTTATCGTTGTTATCGTTGTTATCGTTGTTATCG